CCGTTTTATTTAACATGTGCTCATTTAACACCCGTCCCAACATTAACCATTCGCTGCCATAAAACACTTCACTGTCGTAACATCCCCCTTAAAGTGACTGTCGTAAAACACATTCTCTGACACTATGCAACGTGTTTCAATGAAATAAAACTTTCAATAAAGCTTTTTTTTTTATATATATATATATGACCGTTTAAATACGCCGAACTTCTTCTTCGTCTTCTTTTTTTGTTCTTCTTCTTGTGAGGATTTATGGCGTTTGGCAAACTACTTAAAAGTGCATTACCGCCACCAACTGACAAGGGGTTAAACAAGGAAACAAGACTCGCCCCCAGAAAAAAAAAAAAAATAAAAAAATAAAATATATATATATATATATATATATTTTTTTTTATCTTTATCGTCATTCTGCCAGTTTCTGATTGGTTTTCTAATCACGCTTTCAACCTTTTCCCAGTTTTAATCTCTAATGTCAAAATACTTTTCTACAGCTTTCGCTATTATTTACATTTTTTTCGGTTTTCCTTTTCGGCTGAAAAGATCAAAATCTTTCTTTTTTACAATCAATGAATCCTCTTCCCTTTCGGCACACTGCTCCAGAGGTTTTGAACTTTTCATTTGCTGAACTTTTGATTTGGGTCTTTCTGACTGGAATGGGATCCTTTTTGCAGCTTCAGTTGAAGTCTTCTTCACTTCTGGCGCTAGCAGAGGCTTTTATTTCGAAAAGCACACGCACCGGAAAGATTCCCTATAGGTGCGGAAACAAAGATGGCGGAAGAGGAGAACCAGTTTGAAGAATGTGAGCAGATAGACTTTTTAAAAGACCGACATGTCCGATTCTTCCAGAGGACCCTGCAGGTGTTACCTGAGCGATACGCTTCGCTGGAGACAACCCGGTGAGTTGAGCTGAGGGCGGAGGGGAGCTCTGCTTCGTTTAGGAAGGTAAAGGCAATGGAGCTAGCTAGTAGCTGTGATTCACTAGCAGGTGATAAACCCAATTAATGTTAGTTTCTTAAACCAGCAGCCAGATTTTCTTGGCATAATTAGTTCATTAGGCAGATTTTATCTCTTTGAGTCCTTTTTTCTAACAGTTTATATCATATTATATTCAGCTATTACTCATTAGTAGCTCAATTAGCAGCTGCTTTGGTTTTAAATTATGATTAAACCTTTAAAAAAACGTATCTAAATTTTATTTAAAATAATAAATGTGATAACTGCTTGATTCCAGGTTAACTATCCTGTTTTTTGCCCTTTCTGGTCTGGATGTATTGGATGCCCTGGATGTGGTTGACAGTGACGTGCTGATTGAGTGGATTTATTCACAGCAAGTTCTACCCACTCAGGACAGTAAGTCCAACATCTACCTTTACTTCAACTTTATTTCCCTTTCTTTGTTTCCCCCTCCACACCAGCTTTGAAATGAAATAAATTGTAAAGTGAATTTCATTTGTAAGCAGAGCTTAGTAACAGCATTGAGGATTAGGAGAAAGATGTTTGACCATCAGTGATAAGCTTTGCTGATAAAGCTAAACAGAGAACAAATAAAGGCATGGAGGCTGACTTTTTTTTAAACTACAGAGTTATATTGTTCCTTTAAAAAAAAAAAAAAAAAAAGTCTCTATTGTGGAAAATGAAATCCTTGATTATAGCCAATCATTCATTGATGACAGAATAATGGGAGGTGGATGTTTGGATTAAGGCTGGTGCCTAATAGAAAAGAAAAGCTTCTCGTTTACATTTGATCTCTTATAATGCTAACATTGACTTTGGCTCAAAGCAGGGGTTTTCAACGTTTTCCAGGCCAAAGACCCCCAAACTAATGGTGAGATGGAGTGGGGAGCCTCTAATTATATATATTGTATGAAATTGTGGTATATTAAACTGGTCCTATAGTCACTCTATTACAGCTGAAGTAATGTAACGAAAGTAATTTCACCCTGGGATTATTAAAGTATTTCTGATTCCTGGTTGATGGGACAGGTGTTGTGAATGAAACGGTGCTCAGCTTGAAAGAGCTCCTGTGTGTTGCTGAATGTGTGCATTGATGACTGAAAGACATCCTCTGCCTCCATTTATCTGTTTACCACAGTGTGTTGAATTCGTGTTAATGTGTATTTGAAGCCATTTCAATTAGTGAAAAAAAAAAAATTGCTAATTTTCTAATCAACCAAAAACTTTCACGACCCCCATGCATTACCTCTGTGGACCCCCTAGGGGTTGCGGACCCGCTGTTGAAGACCTCCAGCTTAAAGAATATAATCCTGGACAAAGCTCTGTAAATGGGCTCAGCTATATTTCATACCTGCAGACCTGCAAGGGCGCCTCTTATTTGGACATTTTCTTTGTAAGTCGCACTGGATGGAAACTCCAAGCAGACCCTATATGGAAGGACTATTATTTACCCTGCTGTTGCCTGTATGGTTGAACCGGTCACTTTTTTAATGCAGTCTTACCTTCCAGTTTAGATTTTAATACTGTTAGGCTTTTGTCAAGGTTACGATGCATTTATGCTTTGAATTAAGATTCTACAACTTTAAACCGAATTTTGAGGAACCAAAAAAAGAACAAGTTGTCGGTCGAAGGGTTTATTGTCCATAAATAGTGTGGCTGGTCATCCATTAGAGATGCCTTATGACATCTGCACCTCAACTTATTGTGAATTAGTTTACGAATAAGACAACAAACTGTTTCATACTTTCAGCGAGGCCTCTGCGTCGTCCCACTCATCAAACTTTTACGTCTGTCATGCGCCTGTTGTCCAACTTTGCAGACTTCAAACCATTTCTTGGTCTGCAGTTGTCTGTGCCTAACCCACTGCGTCTTTACAGCTGTTCATCAAAGAAAAGTATCACACTCAGGCTTTTAATGACTTGTTTGGGGATTGGAATTTTATTTATTTATATATTTTCATGTCTAACAAGCTACTCCATACCATCTGTTTAGATGCGCATTTCATTAATTATTGAAGACATCAACGGAGATGATGGAGGGATAGTCGTGCTTGAAAGGATGTTGTTTTTTTTTTTGGGCCTTTTTTTTTGCAATAGCCATATGTTGGGAGTCTGCCAGTTTTTGTTTTCGTTAGATTTAGAAAAATAACAAGTTTAGAGACAACTGTGATTTCCAAATGGGACATTAGTATTAATTAACCCCGTCCTCAAACTCGTTAAGACTTTCAGATTGTTGCTTCGACTGAATTAATCTGCATGAACTTAGTTGTCAGAAAATAAAATGTTAAGGTTGGTATGTGACAGAAGGAGACATTGGACTCCACACACTAAAAAATCATGTATAAGCTGCAGCTCGCTGTTTCTGGCCAGAAGGGGGCAGCAGACACCCTATGAATTTATCAATAAGAACCTCTCCTCAATCTCAGCTCAGAAGCTAAGTTGGAACAGAAAGGGTTTAAAAGTGAAATCTGTGGACTCATATATTATTAAATTTTCCCCTAATGCTTATTTTTACACTAGTATGAATACTTCCATTTCTGCCTGACTCCTCTCTACAGAATCCAACCTGAACCGATGTGGGTTTCGAGGATCCTCACATATTGGAATTCCCTACAGCACTAAGGTAGTGTTATCATTACCCAGATTTGGTTTAAAGGTTGTACAAGTAATGTGGTTTTTTAGTTTTTAGTAAGCCTCTGTTACTTTTGTTTGTTTTTTGCACATGCCATCATAATTTAAGATTATATCCATCAGTAAATCTGCATTTTTCATTCTTCCAAGTAAAAGGAGCCCCCTACAGAGGCAGATGCAATATTGATGTTCAGTTGAAATAATGAGACGGAGATCTAATGTCTGCATCTGCAGCCATCAGCCGTCTCTCTGATTTCCCTTTCTTGCTTCTCCTTCAGGGTCCAGGTGTGCTCCATCCATACGACAGTGGCCACGTGGCCATGACCTACACCGGACTGTGCTCGCTGTTGATACTTGGCGATGACCTGAGTCGGGTTAATAAAGAGGCCGTTCTGGCTGGTCTCAAAGTGCTCCAGCTCGAGGACGGAAGGTTAGGCAACATGATTTTACCTAAACCTTTATCTGTGCTGGCATTTTCACTCTGACTCAGAAACCCCTGCAGCCTTTTTGAGCACAGATTTAACGTGGTCAGACTAGAGCTTGCATCTGCACCTTTTCTAGTTCAAAAGGCAACTAAAAGTGTGAGTTTGGGATACAAACTTCTGTTTAATCTGGAGTAGCAGCATGTTTGAAAGATGGAGATGTTCTGCTCACTGAGCCAATGATGTGTGTGCAGGTTAAAGGAAATTACGCTCTGCTTTCCCTGATCCTGACCTCTTTCTCTGTACTTTATGATTTCATGTTCTAACATCCTAACCCTCGGTTCCGTCTCAACTAAAAAGCAATGCGTACACTTTTATTTCAAATCATATCTGTTTTGTTTTTCAATCTAGATCAGGGAGATCCTTATTTTTCCAGATCTGCCATAATTCATCATATGCTGATCTGGCAGGGGTAGTAGTATGACATAAATGTAGGAAGTAGGGTTGTCAAAAGTATCGATACTCAAAAAAGTATCGATACTGAAAAGTTGTATCCGGATACAATACTCGTTTTCAAAAGTATCGATACAGTGCTACCACCAGTGGCATCTAAACAGTCATTCATCTTATGTGCAGAATAGAGGAAAATGCACTTTCTGAACACTGTGTGATTGAATAATTCTACGCACTTTTCAGTTTCAGACTTTTTTTGTAATAGGTGCAGCTGCTGAGAATTATTTTTGTTAAACGGTTTGGCTAGTGTCATTGTTATGTGTGTAAAGCATAGCCAAGGAAGGAACACTTAATTTTAATTTTGTAAGTTTTTTATCAAGCTTGCTTAATATTGTGCACAGCATACAACCTCAAAATATTGTTTATTGTATTTATTTATCTATTTATTGTATTTTGTTTATTAATGAAAACATTTCTGTTGAATTTTGGAGTCTTTGTTTTTATCCTTGTGGTATCGCAAAAGACATCGAGTATCGAATATTTCACTTAGTATCGGTATCGAGTTGAAAAGTTTAGTATCTTGACAACCCTAGTAGGAAGGGATGAATAATTGATGCTAATCGGATATGAGGAGGGTAATCGGTGCTCCTAAAGCTGGAAATAATCCACAAATACTCAAGTATGTGGGACATCTAGAACAAAAACTCAAAGACACTAAACTACCCTTTTTTGTTTGTTTTTTTGTCTGGCTTTCAGTTTCTATGCTGTGCCAGAAGGAAGCGAGAACGATATCCGGTTTATCTACTGTGCTGCTAGTATCTGTTACATGCTGGATGACTGGTCGGGCATGGACATCCAGAAAGCCATTGAATACATCCGGGGAAGTTTGGTAAGTGAGAGATTGCTGATGTGAATCCATCCATCAATGTACATCCACCCTTAAGATTAAATTGAGCATCTTTGAGGCGCAAAGAAAACCGGCCCCCTACAGTCACAAAGTGGGAGTTTGTCTACAAATAGTAGTAATACAAGTAGGGGAAAAAACAGAGTTGAGTGATGCATCATGGTCTTTTGGCGGCTCCTCTTCTGTATTAGTTAAAAAGAATAAAAGTCATAATTGTCTAACTGTCCTCTGTTTGTCTTTCTGGGCGTCACACACATCAAACATTGTTTTTCCCCTGAGCTGCTCGGCTCCCACGAGAAACTTCACTGTATATCAAGTTTAACATTTCAGACGGTGTATCGTTTCATGGGTGTGTTCAAAAACATCCTGTCTTTTACACATAAATAGACAGACTGTGAAAATGTTCAGCTTGCTTAGAAAAAGTTTAACGTATGCACAGCTTTAGCTGGAGACCCCAGGGCAGCATTTTTTACTTTGGTCTGAACTGATTAAAATTGGGACAGAAACAATCTCTTTTTCTTTTTTTCTTTTGTTACTTTCTCAGCTGTCGACTGTCTGTTGTTCAGATTGAGTTTTATTTATTTTGCTTAGACCAAAAGTTTACAGAGATCTCCTGGTGCTGACATGAAGCTGCTTTTCTCTTAATCGTCTTTAAATAAAAGCAGGTTTAAACAGGTGATGAATAACCATCATGCAAGGGACCTTCAGTGATATTTTTTATTTATTAAAGATTTATAACAACATCCTAGACAGCAAGTAGTTTGTATGAAATAGAAACAATTTCTATAGATGAATGGCAACATTGGCTGTCATTTTCTTAACACCATATTTTAGGTTTTTGGACATGATGTCATGAGAAACGTTCAGTCTATAGCTGAGATGTAACACAGTCCCTACCCTCACCGAGTCTCCTGCTATGAGAAACAATCGCTAACTTGTTCCGGTACACAAAGGGTCAAAGGTTTTTAAGCTAGAGAAACAACGCATGTTAGACTTTCAAAAATTTCAAACATCCTGATGTAAGCTTTTTTTTTTTGGCTGCTATCAGGGAACACTTGTGGAGGCTAATGCTGACAAAGTATGAAATGGAGACCCTTAAGAGGTTTGTTGATGGCTTTTGAAAAAACTGTTTTATTGTATCCCTAGAAGGACAGTTTAATGGTCCTACCTCCAGAGGAGACACCAGTCAGCTGCAGCCCTTCCCCTCCACTCTCCTTCTGAAAACCTCTGCCTCTTCTCTGCTGTTGCTGGCATTGAAATTTGCCTGCTTAAGTAATTTGCACAGCCGCCATCTTTATCTCTGAAAACCTGACTAATCCCTTTATATATAAGCTTGTGTAATTTCTTGTAAATAAAAATAAACAGGAGGATGAGGAAGTGGCTGTCTGTGAAGCATCTTGTGACAGGCTGCGCATTTGAGAACCTTTGCCAGCCACAACAACTTTGTTTTGCTTTGGTTTGTAAGTTTTGGTTAGTTTTAGGGAAGTAAGATCAACCAGTGGGACAAACAGGGGAATATTTTGGATTAAAGGCCTTGGTATGGAAGTGCAGCGCTGTCCAAAGGCTTCTTTTCAATTCCAGTCAGCGATGAACCAACCAGTTGTCTGGAAATTAAACTTTCCCTGCTCTCTGGTTTAAAAGATCAGATACCAAAACCTCTGAATGCTCTTCCTGTTCATGAAATGCATTCAAACCTACAATTTCTGTCTTGATCAGACTCTCAACTGACAGGAAGTACTTTGACACAATGGACGTGTCCAAATATCTAAATCCCTCAATCACTACCGGTATATAGAGTGGGGACTGTATAGTTAACTTTATAGTGAACTCTGTTAACTGACCGTTAGGACATATGATCGGTAATTTCCGCCCCCAGTTGGTCATGTAACTTCGCCTTCCTACATGATGCCTGCACCATCTTTGTTTTTTGTTGCCGCTGTCGGGTAGTGACAGCCGTAATGATAACACATAAATCAGTTGTTGTTTTTTTTTTAGAAACCTTTATTAACAAATTAAAACATTAACAATGGATAGCTAATGGAGGTAGCAGCAATGCAATTCCTTCACATGAGCTCAAGGCATGGCTGAGTTGGCCATTACATACACATATCGGCAGATCCAGGGAAATAAACACTAATATCGGCCAGTTGATGTTTAGGCCTTTCTCTAATTAGTATTCTCATCTGCATCTTTTATCATTTGTAAATCTTGTTGCTGATATAACATTTCTAAATGTATTTCACTTTCTCCATAGTCATATGACAATGCATTTGGCCAAGGAGCTGGGAAAGAGTGTCATGGTGAGTGTGTTAATGAATCCAAAGTCAAACTTCTAACTATAAGGATCCATATGACTGTTTTCAATTAGATGGGGGTTTTTTTGTTTTTTTTTTTCTAAAAAAAATAAATAATAATAATAAAAAAAAAGCACTTGCCCTTCACCACAAAATCAGCAGTTAGGAAGCTATAAACATGTCCTTGTTTGTTTGGGGAGCACAGACTTCCTTCTAACTCTGTGATGTGCTCCTAAAATGTACATTTATCAAACCACAGCTGTTCCTGTGGGGTGGACTTAGTGATTTTTCTCTTTGCTGTAAATTCAACTTCTGTGATTAAAGACTTCAGTGAGACTTTACTTCATTAGCCGAGCCTGCCAACTCTTTGAGGACTGATCCCAAATCGGTAGAGATGATCCGTGGAGGCTAATTACTCCGTCTACCCTTAAGGTGTGTGTGCTGGTTCAGGGCCCAGACCTCCCACTGCTGCTTTAAATCTGAACATTTTTGGTGCTATAATTTCACAGTTATGTGAATGAAACATAGAATTATAGATCCTCATAGGCCCGGGCATGAGACTAGATTTTTGTGTCGATGTTCAGCCCGTAGTGTATATTTAGGACTTTTTTTTCCCCCCCTTATTCTTTCTTTTTTATCCTGCAACACATGAATGATGCATCCTGAAAGAAACTTTTGGACATGGAAGTTTTAGAAAAAGGTGGACATGTGATCTCAAAGCTACGCCATCAAGTGTTCGCCCTCACTTGAAGCTTCTAGCAGCAGTAATTCCTGTTTAGTACAGTAACAGTGTGTAAGCATGGTGATCCACTCCAGTGGTCCAACCAGCTGTCTTCTGGAGAGGTTTTTTGTCTGATTCCAGTCATTTAGATGTTAAATCACTATAACAAAACCTGTTTAAGGAATGAAAATGAAGAATGGAAACCTACTAAAAGTGCACCTCTCAAACTTTTTCCTGCCAGTGGTCCGACCACCATGTTTTCTCTAATCATACTGTATCTTACCAGAGAACATCAACCCAACTACAATCTCAGACAAAAACTGGTTCATTCATCCTAAAGACAAAACACCCAAAGCTGAGCGCTGCCGTTTATGTGGTTTAGACTGGAGAATATCTAATAAATGTAAACTTATGTACGTAGTTCTCTATCTTAGAACCCTCTGAAGCTGAATAAAGGCAGAAACATTAAGCATCCCAGACTGCAACTTTACATGAACTTGATGTGCCCAGGTGGCTGGACGTACTGTGCCATAGCCTCCCTGTGTCTGATGGGCCGGCTAGAGGAGGCTCTGAGTCAGCGGGAGCTGAACAGGATCCGGCGCTGGTGCATCATGAGGCAGCAGAGCGGCTTCCAGGGACGACCCAACAAACCTGTGGATACATGCTACTCCTTCTGGGTGGGGGCTACCCTGGAGGTAACAAACACTGAAATGTCTCCATGCATGCCTGACAAGTTGCCTACACATTTTTATTCTTTATTTTACTCATTTTTTCCGATTTCCAGTTTGGAAATCAGATGACCTGTATTTAGATTTTTCTTTTCATTTTCCTTTTTGTTATACTCCTGTGTTGTATTAAATCAACGTCTCTTTTGTTTTATGCTCTCTAATTAATATTTACAACAAAATTTATTGAAACAAGTAGTATAGTTTAGCTAGAGAATACATTGTTTGTTTTTATTTGATCAATAAAAATAGGAAAAATGTAGAGCGTCTGCTTTAAAGGATAACTTTAAACTTCACAACTATAAAAGAACTTGCTGCAGATTCACTAAACCTAATGGGAAATTGATATAAACCCTGTAAAATTTCTTTTGTTTTAAATGTTTTCATTTCATTATCTTTTTTTTTTTTTTTTGGTCATGTTTTCTGGATTTTTCCTATATTTCCCCCGCCATGATCCTTCTGTTTTCCTCCAGCTCTTGGATGCGTTCCAGTTCACCAACTTTGAGAAAAACAGGAGCTTCATTCTGTCCACGCAGGATCGTTTGGTTGGTGGCTTCGCCAAGTGGCCTGACAGCCACCCAGGTACCAGCAGAAACTCATGCCTTCACAGCTCTGAAGCTTTATTTTTGGTGCATTCAGTGAAAAAAACAAAGCAACAACAGCCACAGGAGCGAAGCAGAGGCCCGAATGGCATGTTTAAAGTTTAATGACTCCTCTGTAGCATTAAGGATCTCATTTAAAGGACAAACAAGCCCGTGTTAGTTTCAGTACATTCATGTTTTTTCCCTTTTAGCTGATCAGTTTGTGCCGCCTCCTCCTCCACAGGTGCAGGGAGACGGGGAGGAGCTGTGGTGGCCAGTTTTACTTTAGATCAATGGCAAAGAATAACAACCCTCCTGTAACTCTAACCTTCAGCAGTCAATGCTGGTGAAGGTGTGCGTGTCCTTCCCCGCCCTCATATTGGCTATTTGATGGGGCATTTTGTTCTACAGGAATCTTTGCTCCTCATGTTACCAGAATAAGACAGGGAGGCCCGTGAATATAACCGAATAAAAGAGTTTTAGTGAAGCAGGAAAGAAGCAAACAGGAGACTAGTGTCCTTAACAGGAACTGGTTTAGGACAATGGTTTGGTAACACTGACGTGGGACAAAAGAAGCAGATTTGTGACACAATAAAAGCTATAGGGAGGGTTATAGTTCTGAGTTAAAATAAAAAAAATAAGAGATTAGGAAGCAAAAGATTTGACTTGAAGTTCCTAAATCTCACTCACAGAGATCGCTGTTGATTCTTAGTGATTTTCTGCATTCTGGATGATGATGTGGGAAAATAGAGTAAATGTTTGTGTTTCCAGATTTGATATCTAATATTTAAGAATTTTAATTTTTAAAGCTCAGAAATATCCCCAACAGCGGATGTTTTTTGTAAACTAGATGTTCATCAGATTGATGGTAACAATATTTTTGATATAGAAATCAGGAAATTAATGTTTAGATAAAGGAGCAGCTAAGCTCGACTACAAGCCTGTTTGGGGTGTTATCTCGATGTAGACTGTATTTAAATAAAGGAATCAAAGATTGCTAAAGTGTTATGGTAAAGACAATATTGAGTCAGGAATGGGACTTCTTTGCACACCTTGGTGTTGAAGTTGCCCTATTGCTGTTAGGTCTCTGAGCTGCACAGGGTGGTAGCTTTGGGTTTAGGCCTGCAGGTTAGCAAGTAGGAGGGACAAGCCACCCTCAATTATATTCCTCTTAACCGTCTCACAGTACTTCCCTCTAAAAGTTCTCCCTGAAAGCATCTCAGTGTCATGAGATGTAAACATGGATGAAGGTGTCCTTACTAATCAGGCCTCCCTTGAAACAAGGCCACATACTCATCTGTTCAACCTTGACTATGAGTCCTGATGGATGAGGCTAATGATGCTGTGATTGATTCTAATGTCTCTGTCCGATCATCTGTCATTTCATTAGAATTCAATTACTGCTCCATTATGGGCCTGTGCAGCTTTTATGTTCCTCCCAAGGGAGTGAAACGGTCAGGGGGCCAAGCTGTGTGCATTTACATGTTCTTAAAGAGGCATTACAACTAACTGCTATGCTAGGAGCAGCTGGAGGATTTTTAGAAGTCAGATAAGGTTATAAATTAAAGCATGCTGGAAGCTTTAGTTTCTTTGTACAGAGCTGTCACCTGTCTGAACTAGTTCTCTTTGTCCTGTTTCCTGCCTCTCCAGACCCTCTGCATGCCTACTTGGGGCTGTGTGGCCTGTCTCTGATCGGAGAGCCTGATCTGAGGAAGGTCCACCCAGCTCTTAACATCACCCAGAGAGCCTTTCAGCACCTCCAGCAGCTGCAGCAGACATGGAGGGGCAACGGTGGCAGCTGCATCGGACAGCAGGACGATTTACAGCACTAACTGTGAAACAGAGCCGGTCTTTAGGTGACTGCTGCTGCTGCTGCGTCTCTGAGATGTTTGGCTTTTCAAGACTTTCGAAATCGAATGAAACTGCGAGGATTTAAACTCTGAGGCCCCAAGTTCAAGTCCATCTAAAGCAACATTTTTGTCGAGCAATATAGGCCACGCCTCTCTGCTGCCTTTTTTTTAAAACAAGTAGTCAATAAAGTTATGCGTCGTGGTTTGTGAAAGTATAATATTATGATGTGCCAGAAAGCGTAATTAACTGGAGACTTGAACAAACATCCGATGCCTCCATCTTTAGTTTATGGCCTTTTTAACATTTTTGAATCAACAGACTTTTCCTTAAGGACGCATTGCTTTACTTGTTTTTTTATGCTCTTTGCTGGAGCTGCACATAGCTGCTGAGCTTTTTGTAACGCGTTTAGACCCGTGGGACCCAGTCAGCTTGAGGACTGTAGTCCTCCCATGATGCAGCCGCTCTTCATGGGTCAATAGTTCCTCTGTTTGAAAGCTGAGACCATCCAACAGGTTTATTCTCCTTAGCTTCTCACTCCTCTGACCCAGGCTTTAATTTTCAATCAACAGTTTTAGATACAAACCTGAACTGCTTGGGTGACATTTATTAAAACGGGGCTAAATCTACCTCAGGACACAAATGATTATTTGGACTTTTTTAAATGGAGTTTTGGAGTAGATTAAGTCTGAAGCCTTTTTATTGGGATCTTATCGGACAGGAAACATTAAGTGGCTCATAATTCTAAAAAGGACCGATAATTGTACAACTGTTTAATATTTTTTCCAAGCAATTGGAATCTAAAATAAGAGATCGGCAGTTTAACTCACCTTCACTGCAATGAACAGCTGCTACTCTAGTTGTGTACATCTAAAAACAGCTGATTAAAAGTCCTTTGGAGCATGGCTTAAATCATCGGATGCAGAAGGTCTATAAACATAGATGTTTGACTGTGAACACAGAGCCGGTTGCTTTCAAGTCTGGACTTTGTTGTAGGTCACTCTAACTTATTAGAATGGTTTAACAGATTAAATCACCTCCTTGTGTTAAGCGTTCTTTCAGAAACTGGACCTGGGCCCGTTTTAAAAGGTTCTGCTTGCACCAATAGGTCCTCATCAGTGATTTCTCTGCTTTTAACTTCATTAATCCTCATAGGCATCACTATCCCTGATGAAGAAAAGCCTCCATGTTCCAAACATTACTTTCCTAGGCTTTTATTTTGCTGCGCCTCACAGGTGGCGTCCACAGCTAATACTGATCATGCCAGCATTTTCCCACCTGAGCAGCGGATTTCTGCAGCTCCCCTAAAGTTCCCATGCAACATTTTTTTTTTTTTATTTTTTTTAACATTTACAATCAAGGGTGAGAGATGGCACTATATATTTCATTTAGAACTATCGCATCAAGTTCAGGTTTTTCTTTGTAAAATTATCTTGAAAACAAAGTTGTTGTTTTGTTTAACGGCAGTGAAGCTTGGTTGTAATGAAGCAAAATGTATAAAAAGTACCAAGGAGTACGAATCATTTCCCAGGTTCTGTAACACTGAATTCCCTTCCTGTAAACAGCATTACGCTAAGGAGGCTCTTTCATGACACTTGAACTTTGCTCATTCACCTGCTTCCTGAATCCCTGTGAGGTCATTTCAGCTGGGAATCAGTAGAGAGGTTAGACAATGGCATCATAACCAGAGGAAACATCTTCCTTTGATGCGTGCTGCTTATTCTTAGTCCAGAAAGGATGCGGGATGAAATAAAAAACAATGACCATAATTGTACCTCCATGTGTAAGAAAGCAGAGAGCAGCTTTCCATTTGATAACCATCAGAACTCTAGTGATTATTTTCATCTAGCTGCTTTGAATACGTTAATTTAGCCCTCTCTGGAGGCCATAACCTGGGCGGAGGAGTCTTTCCACCTCTTGCTTCTGCATCAGGTTTCTGTCGTACAGCAAGAGAAAATATTTCCAGCTTTACGTATAGCTGTCAGAAGTGGCACTTTTTTTTTTTTTTAATGAGGCCACAGTCTGAGGTAGCACCTGCTCCCCACGCTGACACATGAGGACGAGATGCTTTCAAAGACTCGGAGATGCAGCTGCCCGTCGGCTGCATGCAGACATGTCTGCGACTGCATGCAGAAACCAGATTAAACCTGCCGTCGCTTTCCAAAGCTATTGGGAGGAGAAAAAAGCCCCCCAAAAAAGGAGGAGGTGATGTAAGGAGAGGTAGATGAATAAATAATGCGAGCCATCTATTATTGACAGTAAAGCTGTCGGAGGCTGGATTATGCTCTTTGAATCCAGACCAAACACTGGGCTGCAGTGTACAAATAATGCCCTAACGGAATTATTTGTATTTTTCATTTTTGCTTTAATCTGGAAAAAAAAAACATATTCTATGACTATTTTCTTAATTCCTATTCTACATATGTTTGCATCACCAAACCATAATTTTACTTTTCTTTTTTCATGTTATGGATGCTGGATCGAGTGTCAGACTGAATTATTTGTATTTTATATGATAAAACTATCTGGTATTGTTTTGTTTTTTTTTACCTTTATATTATAAGCCTGTTCTCTTAGACCACAGAACGAAGCCAACTGTAACCAATCAGCATTTGTCCAGTTTTCCTGCCAATCTAATTCTACCCTGTTTTTATTTGTACACATAGTAAAGCATCTTTCTCCTGCTTGCCTTCTTACTGTGCCTAATGGACTGTTTGCAGTCGCTGCTCTCTGAAGGCTGTGCTTTCTTTTTTTTCTCCCCCTTCATGCCTAATTTAGGGAGAAAGAAGTTAAACCTCGGTTGCATTTTCAGATTTAGATCTACAAAAGAAAAATATAGTTCATTTACATCTGTTTAAAATGGATTTGCTTTTGAGATCAGATGTCATTGACTTGTTTCAGATTGATATTGTCTAGAAATATGTCAGGATTTATTTGAAGAGGCCACTGAAAGGCACCACTGCTGGTACATTTTTATTTTAAAGCATTTGCAGATGAAACCTTGGGTTCATCTGCATGAATAGAAGGCGCAGCTGCTTTGTGCCTCTAAAAGCTGTGAAAAGATTGGAGTGGAGATGCAGCCCAAACACCACATGTCATTTCATGAAGCAATGCTATCAATATTGTAATGATAAATCATGGAACAAAAAAAACGTAACGGAGTTTATTTTTTCTATACTTTATAAAAATGAGTTTAGATTGATCTAAATGTTTATCAATATCTGACATCTGTTGGGCAACAAAACGGAGCATTTACATTAGGAGAACTGGACCTGCAGGTGTTGGTGTGTGATGTTTTCTCATGGTGCAGCTTTTGGGTTTGGACACAGCAATGCTGATTCACGCTTGGCATGAAAACCTGTTTGTGTTCGAATAAAATGTGTACTAACTTCAACTTGTGTGTTCTTTGTTTTAATGGTGTCTTGCAAAAAAATATAACAATGTTTTTGTTTGGGAGAAAAGTTGAAGTAAAGGTAAACCTTGTTTTAAAAGTGCACTAACCTCATGATACTGCCACCACCGTGGTTCACTATAGGGATGGTATGAAGTGATGAGTTCTGTTTTCATCGACCTGTAGCATTTAGCATTTTACAAATAGCTGAAATATTTACCCAACATTTAAAAAAAACTTATTAATAAAATAATAATAAAAAGATGTTTATTTCATGCAAAGAGCATTGGCCATTTTTTAAACTCCTATTCCAAGCGACTAAAATTAGATCTGAGTGGATCCCCTCTGCTACATTTTTTAAGATGTTGAATGGGAATAAAAGTCATTCTAAAGGACTTTTTAATTATCTTCCCATTTCTGTTCGACAAAAACCCCCAAAAGCAATTATAGCAATAATATGAACATTGGTTTTGTCAACAGATTCTCCCACATGAGCGGTGGATCTCCACAGCTCCACATGTGTGATGGGTTTCATGGCTGCTTCTCTTATTAATGCCCTTTCTATCCAGCCTGCCGGTTCATATGAAGTTTAATGGCTCTGAATACTTTTACCAAGCATAGTATTTGTTTTGACTGCTATAGTAGAGTTTAACGCCTCAGAGCGCTACGATATGCAACCACAGTTATGTTTTTGTTTGTGGGGAAAAACTGGAGCTCTTCATATAATCCGGTCAATAATGTGTGCATAGTTGAAGGCAGATAGGAGAAATATCAGCCTTCCTGATCTTGCTCCTCATCATATAAGCTTTTGTCACGCTTTATGTTTCTGTGAACAATGCACCAATTAAAAGAGTAAGGATCTGTTTAGCTTTCTTCTCCTTTTAAGCCCTGAAATAAATGGCTTATAACTAAATTCAGGTTTGCTTTATACTTCCTAATTTGTTCTCTCAGCGGATTTTTGATAGAGACATAAAATGTTTTTTGTTGCATGCTATTCGACGTTCTTAGTTAAAAACATGAACTTAAACTGCTTTAAATGTAGTTAATCTGGTATTGGTGATATTTTTCATTAATTTCATTCTAACAGGGCATGTTTCCTCGTCTGGTTAAAAAAAATCCCTCAGAGGTTTCACATAAAAACAGCTTTTTGTGACTGATTTTCTAAATGCTTTGTAAGATGACTGCAATTATTAAAATTTGAAAACTCAAATAAAGTATCATTATAGATACAACATTGCTGTTGGGTAAAAAGAAGATGAAAAGTAGAAGGTAGATATGCAGAATCTTTTCATATGTTTGCTCTTTCGATCTTTCGATTGAGCAAAAGATCCCAAATAATGAGAAAAGTATGCCTATAAACTATAATAATTAATGAGACAAGTGTCTCTTGTATATATTATCTACCGTGAGAATTTTTCAAATGACTACTTTGCTTCAGTCAGGGTTCCTAATCGATTGCCTTCAATAGACTGGCCTAAAACAGTAATCTGAACCACACTCAATAGACCTTCAAATCTTTACAAAAAGACATGCAGCTGAATTCAATCAAATATTAAATCTGGCCATTTCTATAACTTTTGTTGACTCAATAAATCATCAAATGCTACTTGTAGAAATAAACTGATTTTGAATAGTTTAAAAGCAATTGGATCAAAATAAAGAAATAGGATTGAAACACAATGTTACAAGCAAAGGCTATAAAGAAAGCAAAATAATGGAGGAAATGTGACATGTGCTTCGTAATTCATCAGCCAGTGCAGATCTGTGTCCATAGCTAATGTAAATCTATAAAGATAGACTACCGTAAGCTTGCTGAGATCAAGCGATAATAAGGGGGGGTGGAGGGATAAACCTGGTCTGCAGCTGAGATTATAAAACATAATGGAGAATGTTCCTCAAGCAATTTCTCAAAACAGTATTATTAAACATTCGATATGGAATCAGCAGCTTGGAATCGGAATCCAACAATACCCAGGAGTGTTAACAGCACACACCTCCACTTCTCTAAATTTAAAAATGTAACCACAGCAGCTGAATGAAAGGCAAAGCAGGCTAGAGGAGGCCCAGTCACTCCACTGTTTTTCTATTTTTAAACACACAGATGACAACTGGCTTGCATTTTTTCCCGATTTGCTTCAGTTGGCTCCCATTTTCACGCCATGTGGAGCATTGTGGTCTTTCTTCTTTACTAGGTCAGTGAGTAAGACCTAATTAAAAATCTGTGGAGGAGGGGGTTTACTGAATCTAACATTGAAGCACACATCCTAAGCTTCATCCCACCTGGGAGCCGCACTGAACCGCCATTGACTTCAATACTGCAGCTGACACGGTAACGTAAGACAAACATGGCAATAAGATACCCACCCTGAACTGTGAGGTCCTGAATCCCCGATCTGTTAGGGAGTGAAGCAGCTTCTGCTTCAGAACAATTTAGAAACAGCAAAGCTTTAATCCATCTAATATGAAAGCATATCTAACAATTATCTGCAGGTGTAGCTGGAATTCCATGTAATGATGTAACCTAAGTCATTCTGCCCTGTAAAGCATGCCAGTCAATGCTTCATATTAATAATTCACTCTGACAGAGCACGTTCTGTTTATGTGGTTTTTTATGAGGCTTTAATGTGTCATCTCCGTTTGTACAACATGTTGGAACCAATATACTAAAGCACGTCATGAGCTGCCTGTGTTTTAGTGAAGAAACTAAACTCATATTTCAACATTAAATCCTAAATGAATAACCTAGATAAAATACTAATGTTCCTTGATATATTTTTTAGGTCTTTTTTGCCTTTTGGTGTAGTTAAAGGTCATGTTCTCACTAGATCCATTGTAGTGCATGATAAGTATTCACATATATCTGTGCAAGGACCTGATTATTACCTAATTTTTTAAGCTTTATTGAACAACTTTAATTTGGTATCTTGGACTCAGATGTCTGGATTCTCTGCCATTCAGCAGTGCCAGCTCGCACTGGGACTGCTGCCAGGTGTGCTACAGCCAGAAACAAAAACTTCTGATTTTTTTTTGCATTTTCTTGCATTTCAATTCCATCATTCAATGAATTTCCCTCCAAATTCATAGAAAACATCTAGTTAGTACTGATACTTAATACATAAAGTGTGTGCACCCTTTCCCAGAAGAGCACATTTTCTTTCTTTTCTTTTTTTTAAACCCCAAATTATCTCTGGATCCCTAGAAGCTTGTATATTATTGTCAATCTGTGAGCCCTCTGAAGGAAAGCCAAGCTGCAAGGTGTTGGTTGGATGTAACATTGCATTGTTCCATCAAAAAGCTAAAAGCCTTTTTCATGGACAGGGACATAGTATACCTCAGTAAATTCATCTAAAGCCTGCTGCACATTTCCTTTTTTTTCTTTCCTTAGACTAACATTACAGATTGTCTTTAGTTTGTTTTATGGAACTTTACAGTGGAAAATGTTCCAACAAAAATAGACTAAAACCTTGAACTATTACTGAAAACGGAGGATGTAGCTTTAACTCAATATAAAGCCAAAAGCATAGATTTTTAATCCACAAGCATCTACATTTACATAGTTAACAGAAACGTTGACCTAGTGGAGTTGTCCCAAGATAAAAAAAAGAAAAATAACTACCCTCAAAAAGCTTAGTACTCTCTCGCCACTGTGGAAAATAGAAAAGTATGACCTCCTCACTAAGATCTTTTTCTTGGGGGGAAATCCTATCCTGGCAATCTGTTTGCCTGATGGTTATTGTTGGAAGAAGCAAAATAAAAATAATGACTTCATTAAACCATTCTGGTTACTAAAACAGGTTACTGAAGCCTAAACCCATTTTATGTTCTTATGGAACCAGAACGGAGTTTATCTCATGCAAACACCACAATACACCTGCTGTAAGTGGCCTTTCTTCTATTTTATTTTTATTTTTTTAATTTTTATAAAAGGATGGTTCGATTTTTCTTCTGAAAAATGCACAATTACTTTCTGCTAGTACTCTGCCAGTACCTTACGACTCTGCTTCACAGCAAAGGCCTGTTCGATAAATGGCAGAGTACGTTGCAATCACATCTAATGCGGATCTGTTAACCACGCCACGATTTAAACTTAAAGAGGAGACCCCTTTCTGAGCAGGGAAAACTGATGGTGAAATATGGACATTTAAAGCATCTGTTTTTGTTACGTTTTCTATTGTTTGTTTTGCCTCTAAAATTATTTTAAAGCTCAATAACATTCTCATGACTGCTTCACATAGTTTCTACGTTGATGTGACTAAACAAGAATCACAGCACTTGAGTTATTTATCTAGTCCTGCTCCTGCTGCTTTGTGTCAGGGACAGTCCCTGCCTGTCCGCCGGCCCCCCTCTCATGCTCACCAGGGTGGATGGAATATGTCTGCGTGAAGCCATGAGGCCATCTGCTGAAGCAGAACAAGTGGCAATGCCAGAAAACATGAAAAACAGGAACTTAATCCCGTCCTCTTGCTGTCGCCCCACATTTTGTGCTGCAGCCATTAAACATTGTTAAGCGGCTTCACTGAGCCACATTGAGATACACCTCTGTACAATACCAAGGGTATGGGGCAGATTAGCAGTTTAATTGTCATGTGGATAAAAGTTATATTAATGAATGTCCTGTTTTAAATGTTGTGATTTGGCTCAAAATAAAGATGTGAACTGGGAAGCAGCATGTTTTTTATTGTCATTTTGTATACACAGAGTGAATGAAATTTCATTTTGCACAGCTTTCAGAACATTTCCATTACATAAAGCAGCAGTGATCAAATGTAAACAGTGTAGGAGAAGAAATATGGTGCAAAAATGCATTAATGTGGGAGTTCAGAGCATTAAATACTCTATATTGATGATTTTATAAAGAAAAACATAAAAAACTTAAAAGGCTTAAATGATCAGGAGAGGACTATGGGGAATAAAAAGAAATAGCGGAGAGAAGTGAAAAGCTAAGAGCTCATATGCTAAAGGATAAGTGAAAAATAATTTCAATCCAGATGAGTTAATTAGACAAAATGGTAAAGCTGGGAGAAGACTGGTGAGCGGGACTAAGGATTGGAAACCAAAGAAAGCAGAAGCCAAAGGGAAGAAGAATAACTTTGACCTAAGAGAATACACTTAAATACACAGAGAACAGAATACTATAAATATGTAAGATACTAAAACTAAATGTATGTGGCAACATCTCCAAAGTGATCTGAATATACCCCCAGCAAAATGAAATAAAACTGTGGGCTTTTATTCACCATTCAGGTACTACATACATCTACTGGTACAGCTGTTTGGCATCTGTGTCCTGTTGGAAGCCGCAACTGTCTCCAGCTTTCACCCGTTTATCAACCCTTTTGATTTTAGATGTAGAAAAAAACTATGGAGAAAGTCTTTCTTCATCATTCCATGCAGTTTCTGCAATGCAGCAAAACTCCTTACAGTTAAACAGACCCTTAGCATGATGCTACTGCCACCATGCTTTACAATTAGTAGAGTGGTTCACAGGTTCAAACGCATCGTCTTGACTCATTTAAAAGATTTATTTTTATTGTGACCAAAGAGGACCATGGTTCTTTCATCTAAGTACAAAAGATCTGCATTTAGCTTGACATTTCAGTTCAAATAAGATACTGATTAATATATAAACTTTAGGTCTCTCTTGAAAAATAATGGATACTCTTAACTATACTGTGGTCATGTTGGTTATGGTAATACCCGTATGAATGAAGGTGTGTATAGGATAGAGTGAAAGTATATATGTATGCTCATATGTATATGTAAAATAATGTATATGCTCACATAATGGACTTAAACGGTAATTGGGACGCTTGTTGGTGTTAAGGACTTTATAAAAGAGGATTGGAATGATTAAATATGTTTTAAATCATGCCCTTTTCAGACATAATAAACACTAAATTATGCATCTATTGTAATTAGATATCATCAATTAAACATAATGTGTGTGTGATGAATTGTAATTTTACTTGATTGTCTGAAATAGTTTTGTTTTTTTTTAGAATTGATGCACAATAGATAAATTCTTAATTTTTATCTCAAAATGTTTGTTTTGATCTTATAGCACTGTAAATAATGTTGATTTAAATGTATGCTCATCAATTTGTCATAAGATAAAAATAACAAATTAATTTTGTGCATAAAATGTTGGATTCTAAGATTAATCCTAGTTTTATTTCTTTTATCTATGCTGCATTTGTAGGTTTGGTAGAACTATATAGAAATGAAAAGATGACCCTAATGTTTGCAACTTGCAGTGATGTCAGCAACATATTTAACACAACCTCCTTCTTTCCCATGTTTGGATTCCTAAAAACTGGATAACTAATTATTTGCTGTTGGCAGAGGCGTAGCCAGAATATTTTTATAAGGGTGTCCAGCCAATAACCAATGTAGACTGAGGGGGGTGGCCGAAGGTAGATCGGCATCAGAACCTCAGGGTCAATCTACATTGTTCCAACAGGAAAATTAACGAGCGCAACATCCATATTTTCTAAATAAAGACTAACTGTACTTTCCTACAGCCTTTGCTAACAAATAGACGCATATATTTAAACATCCATGGTGTCTAAATTCAAGGTATAGTGGATAAAACTCTTTCAGATTTCAGTTCTGGGGCGTAAATCTTTTCCATTGTCATTACTTACCTACTTTTATCGATGATCCTTCAGCATAAAATTGATATTTACCTGAACTAATATAAACATGAATTAATTATGTAATACGTTTTTATTAAAAAAAGTATTTATCTACGATTTCACTAAAGACTCCTAGAGACACATTATTTTCTCTTTACCTCATATAAGATAAAATTTTGTTCTGAAAAGAGCATGAATTCTGTATTTATCATCTTTAATGTTAGAATATTGATGTGCATAATTTCTTTACTTGACAACAAAAACCACAGGGTTTTGTTGTCAAGTAAATTGTAATATATGAAAAATTCAAATGTTTTGAATATTCCACCTGAGAGTATTGCTGATAAAGTAACTAAATATACTTAAGTAAATGGTAAAAGCTGTTGCATAATTTTTTTTTTCAGAGCACAGCCACCTGTGGCCCCCCATCTAGCTCCGCCCCTGGCTGTTGGCTGAAGTAACTGATGGACAGGTTTGGTGGGTACAAAGAGCTCTTTGGGTGGAGACATCGCCACTGAGGGATGATGGAGGTGGAAGGAGATGGTACTACAGTTTAGATGAGGGCGGGGCGTTTTTTCCTCCAAGATGAAGCCAAGTAGCAGCAAACAGTAGCCGGCGCAGGTCCGCAGGAAGGAGGAGAGAGGATGGTGATCGGAGGAGCTGCTCCTGTCTGCTGATACATCTCAGCCTTTGGATCCTCCTCATTTTACGCTCTGCAGCTTTTTGGTTTTTCTTTTTCTGCGAACATTTCATCTTCCCTGCGCTTCATTGAGCGCTCTGTGGCTGTAAGCTTAGAGTGGATCCATCACCATCTTCAGCCATGTCAGACTCCGAGGATATGACAGAGTTCGCCAGCATCGTGGAGCGCATCGAGCGGGGAGAGGTGAGAATGATCCGGATGATTTATGGTGACAGGAGCGGTAGGGCTGTCAGTGCCGGGGCCCTGCAGCCTGTCACAGACACAGCCATCATCACCGACACCCTATTCTATTCTATTCTATTCTATTCTATTCTATTCTATTCTATTCTATTCTATTCTATTCTATTCTATTCTGTTCTATTCTATTCTGTTCTGTTCTGTTCTGTTCTGTTCTGTTCTGTTCTGTTCTATTCTATTCTATTATGTTTTATTATATTATATTATATTCTGTTCTATTCTGTTATGTTCTATTCTATTCTGTTATGTTCTATTCTATTCTGTTCTGTTGTTTTCTGTTGTATTCTAATCTATTCTGTTCTGTTCTATTCTATACTGTTCTATTCTATTCCGTTTTATTATATTATGTTGTATTCTATTCTATTCTGTTCTACTCTATTCTGTTCTGTTTTTTTCTGTTCTGTTCTATTGTATTCTATACTGTTCTGTTCTATTCTATTCTAACTAGTCCTAGTCTTCCTTATTTATTTAACGCAAATATATTATTTCCTTTAATAGACACTTTACATCTGCATTTCACTTTAATGTGTCTTTAAGTAGCAATGATTTATTAGCTCTTAATTCATAGCCATGGCTATAACCCAGCTGATGATAGAAGGTTGTCTTCATGTGCATCTGGGAGAGTATTCTGACTTTGATCTGCACCTTTTTAATTGGGAGAGTTTGCAGTTTGTGCTGCAGGGAGGTAGATTATTGGACTTCTGTATGTGGGAGCAGATATGTTTTCAGACAGGACTCTGGGTTTACTTACGTGTGCATGTTCCTTTGAGTGAGCTGCTGTCCTTGCTTGTCTCAAACCAAAGTAATGAGTGTTTAGTCAGCTTTAAGATATATCTATGCATTTTTAGAGCAGTGACAGAGGGAAAAAAGAGCTGACTGCTTGGAACTGAATCACCTAGGTTTCTTAGTATATGTTCTGACACAGAGATCTATTGACTGCTTGGGTAAAAAAATATATTTTGCAGTAAATAAGCTCAAATATATGGAAACATCCTATATTTTTATCCAAAGAACTTTATATGGAAGGGAATAAGATACGAGGAGGGAAATTGTTTAATTTGAAATGACCAGTTTTGCCATTCTTGGTAACCATTATAATTTGTACAAACCATACAGAGGGAGTCTCAAAGATCAGGGGCCTCAATTGTCTTCAATGGCAGGGGTCCATCAAATTTCAATTGGGTTTCTATTTTACCAGACTTGGTAGCACGCCGTGGAAGGAAAGGTGCATTAAGTACTTGTCAAATGGACTTTGAAACTTTAGCTCTAGATTTTGCATAGGCAGTTGTATGTCTTACATGCAGAAACACTAGATGCACTAGATGGTTTATTATTTACAAGCATGTTGATTTGAATGGATGTATAACTGCTTAAATTATGTATATTCAGTTCATTAGAGGTTTTGGGTATTTTTCTTCTTTTATGTGTTTTAATCACAGCAACACTATTTAGTTCTATTTTTTTTTACATTTTGAAAGAACTAAAGATATAAAGTACCAACATATTTTATATACATTAAACTACACATTGTGAGGTTTATTATTAGATAATGCATTTTACTTTTAACTTAATTGTACTTATGGAATTACCATAAAGACATTCAGTTCAGTTCAAATAATGATATGGACAAGGTAATAATGAAATGCTCCATCAAATAATTAGATAAACTTTTTAAATTCTTAAATGGACTAGCTAAACTTTATTTCACTCTATACTTATACAGTGAGAGCCATGGGTTAAAGGATGATAAAGAGGATTTGGGCATAATATCAAAGCATACACTCCTCCTAATTACATTTTTGATGGTAGGACAGAAAAGGCTAAAAAAAAAAAAAAAAAAAAAAAACAGACAGCATGTAGATATCAAGATTTAATATCTACACATTACTACACCACTATTAACCCATTGAAAAATAAAAATTAACATGTCGATGTGTTAAAATTTTCTTTAGCTGAATCAAAACAGAACTGATGTTATAATTTTTGAATCAAACAAAGAGCGTTTAAAGGTTGGAGTTGATACTGCAGGAAACCAATCAGGCTCTAAATCTGGGCGTATTAATGGATGGACTCAGACCTGAACACTCAGAGGCAGTGAAAGGCAGTAAAAAGTCATCCCTCTATCATCTCCAGATTTAAAGAACTAATGTCTCAGCAGGACCTTAAAAAACTAATAATCGTCTTTGAAATGTTTTTTTCCATGGGTCTTCTTAAAAAATTGATAAGACAGCAGCAGCTGATCCAGAATGCTGCTGCTGTTGTCCTCACTAAAACTAAGAAAGTGGAGCACATCACCCCAGTTCTAAAGTCATTATACTGGCTCCCCTTTTATCTATTTATAAGATTCCTGTTTTGTTTTTGTTGCAAGTCTCCGTTAAATAAATTCAAAGGATGTGAGTCTAAGCTTGATTTTGGAGAGGAATGTTGCAGTTGGAGTTTTCTCTTTGTAAGGGTGACTGTCAGGGACCAAGCAGTCAGGCAAAGGACAAATGCATAGACATAGTATCATCCATTTTTTCTTCCAAGGTAGTAACAAACAAAAGACTGAAAATTTAGGGGGAAAAATGGCGTGAGGAGTCAGAGAAAACTGGAGCACAGGTAAATGTAGAACAGCAATACTTTACTCAGCCAGCTGGCAGGACTAAACGGGAAAACTTTTTTTGCAATGGGGAGAAAGGAGATACCGTCCACTGGGTATTAAGGAACAGTTGACCTACTAACACATTTTCCCTTCCTAATGACAAAGAAAACCATTCTGTTAATCCCAGACGTGCCTTCAAAGTGTTTTGTGACTCGATCCTTAATCCATTTGCACCTTATCATAACAATATTATGTGTTGGGTTTCTAACCAAATCAAAGAAATCCTATCTTTGGGCAATTTTCATTTATTTAATTATTGCATTAGGAATTGTTTCAATACAGGGTTTTAAAAAACATTTAACAGAAATTGACAGACAGGAATGAATGGATGAAGATCTTATTTGCACTCTGCATTCACATTTATCTCTGAAAAGTACCCAGCAATTGAGTCTAATTCGATTAATACATGTCAGTGAATATGTAATTTTATTTAACTGCGTAATTCCAACACTTTGCATCTTTTTGTCTTACTTTTGCTATCTCTAAAACCTAATGCATGTTATGGAAGTAAAATTGCGCACATTTTAATTGGCCTTCCTCCAAATTGTACAACCATGTTGCTATATTAATTTTCCGTTAAAAATAAATAAGCCAAGCCATTTCTTACACGTGTACTTTAAACGTAGCTTTGCTTTGTAATTCATTAGCAGTTAAAAAAAATCTTAAATCTCATTCAAATTAAGTTTAATTGTATTTCCTTTTAATAAACCTTGTGTTTAATGTTTAAATTTATTTTTAGCCTCTTCGCTGTTTTAGAGCCATAAGGATCTACGCTGTACAAGTACCACTATAGTGATGCAATATTTAGGCAGTACAACAGAAGCTAGTCTTTATTTTGTTTTAACAATTTTTAACAATTCAAAGAAATCTTTGATAATTATTAGTGCTCCATATTTAATGGAAGGGTGCAATTTTATTGATGAAAATATTTCTTTCAGTATTTTTCACCCCTTTTGTAGAAGCAGGTCATACAAAATTAACTGGTGCTGCAAACGAAACCAAAAGCACTTTTTTCCTGATTTATGATTGTCTATTTTAGTTTCTTAAATCATCATCAGCCTTTAGGTTGTTCCTTTTAGAAACCCAGTTCAGATTGTGGACGCATTTAACCCATCCCCTAGGTGAGCAGTGGGCTGCCATTGCAAGGCATCCAGGAGCAATGTGGGGTTAAAGGTCTTGCTCAGGAACCCAGAGTGGAGGCTGTGGGGATCGAACTTGTAACCTTCCCAGAGGACAAGCTCACTGCTCTTATTCACTAGGCCAACACTCTCTAATTACAGGGCAGTATTACTAGTTTTCATTACATAACACACAGTATAGGTAGCAGAATATGGAACAATTAGCACAAAAATGTATAGAAAACAAATAATCTATAATTATATCAGATGTTTATTGTTTACATCATTTAATTATATGACAACATAATATTAAATATATGAAATACAAAATTAAAAAATGCTATGGGTTGCTTGGATTAAAAAAAAACTATCAGGCCATGCACCATGGGATGAAGGATCCAATCCCATCACCCAGAGGCAGAACAGGAATGCAAAACATCATGCTGAGTCATATTGACATATTTAAATATGTTTCACCATTTTAAGATAAATATAGGTGAGTTTTATCAGTGCAAAAATATACATTTATTTTATGTCCCATAGAGTTTTTTTAAGAGAAGAAAAAAAATCTCCACAACTAATTGAAGCTCTATCTTTAACATAAAGAGACATTTTATATAACCTACTCCTGTTTTATATGAAGGAATAATCCGACCATAATTTAGGATAAATAAATACATAAATCACTCATAAATCAAATCCATTTTAAATTAGTGAGCCATTAAATGCAAAAACCTGATAAGAATTAGAGAGATATTAAAAAATTATGAATTACTTTCATATAAATATGCTTAGTAAATTTCAAGGTATTGTTTATTTATGATAGTATTATTTTATTTTTTTATTCCTTTTAATTGTGGCAGGATTTGTCCTCCACAGATTCAGAGTTCCTTCAATACTTACAAAAATACTTGGTCTTTCCGTTTAGCCTTTAGTTTTGTTGTTTTAAGTCTTCATATTCAGAAAATCCAAATAGCTAATAGTAATTTGAATGCTACCCACTGTAAAAAAAAAAAAAAAAAAAAAAAAAAAAAAAAAAAAAAAAGAAAAGATCCTGCATAGAAAGAAGTCAGGACATTTTCAGGTACAGACACCCAGAGGCGTAGCCAGAAATTTTTTTATAAGGGTGGCCAGGCAATAACTAATGTACACTGAGGGCTGGCTGAAATTGATAGGCATGAGAACCTCAGGGTCAATCTCACTGTTCCAACAGGAACAAATTAACAAGCAAAACATCCATATTTTCTAAATAAAGACAAACTTTCTTTCCTACAGCCTTTGCTAACAAATGGATGCATATATTTAAACATCCGCAATTTCTAGATATTACTTACATTACTTACCTACTTTTGTCAATACAAATTCTGCATAAAATTGATATTTACAAGTACTAATATCTACATAAATTGATTATTTGATAAGACTGATTTCACTAAAGACTCCTAGATGACTTGCAGAGACACATAATTTTCTCTTTACCCCATATAAGACAAAATCTAGTTCTGAAAAGAGCATGAATTCTGTACTTATCATCTTTAATGTTAGTATATTGATGTGTATAAATAACCACAAAAAAATTAAATATTTTGAATATTCCACTTGAGAGTACTTGGATGTTTACTGCTGCCACCATCTGTATGAGAGGGAAAAAATAGGGGTGGCCAAAGATTGGCTAAGGCTGGCCATGGCCACCTCTGGCCCCCCTTCTAGCTCTACCCCTGCAGACGCCTGATGTTATGAAAGGAGTGTGAAGGGGGAGGTTCACACATCAAAGTAACCAATAGGGCGTGAAATGCTCTTGTCATGAAGTCTAGAAAATTAGCAGCAACATTCTGAGTTCTAGATACACCCCCACCCTTGAAGTATTACTAAAGTAATATTTCGAACTAAATTGGGACATTTTTAAGTTTACTAAAGTATACTTAAAATATACTTTAGTAAACAATAAAGTAAACAATAGTATAGTCAAGTGTACTTGACTATACTATTGTACTATTAAATAATCAATTGATGTTGACTCATAAATATCAAATTTATGCAGAATGATTATTGATAAGTAGGTAAGTAATGACAATGGCAAAGATGTCTGCCCCAGAACTGAAACCTGAAATACTTTTATCCACTATACCTTGAATTTAGACACAGTAACACAATTGTTTTATGTCCTTCCCTGCTAAAATAAAAAAAAAATCTGTTAAAGTAAATAAATATAATTAAGTAAATGCCAAAATTGGTTGCATTATTTTTTTAATGTGGCCACCCTTAGCCAATCATTGGCCATCGCTACCATTTTCTTCCCTCTAATACAGATGGTGGCATCAGCAATACTGTCAGGTGGAATATTCAAAACATTTGAATTTTATATATATTACCAATTACTTGACAACAAAAACCCTGTGTTTAATTATGCTCATCAATATACTAACATTAAAGATGATAAATACAGAATTCATGCTCTTTTCAGAACTAGATTTTGTCTTATATTGGGTAAAGAGAATAATATTTCTTTGCAAGTCATCTAGGAGTCTTAAGTGAAATCATAGATAAATAAGTATTTTAATAAAAACGTATTAAATCATCAATTCATGTAGATATTAATACATGTAAGTATAAATTTTATGCTGAAAGATTATTGATATAAGTAGGTAAGTAATGACAATGGAAAAGATGTCTGCCCCAGAACTCAAACCTGAAAGTATTTTATCCACTATACTTTTTATCTAGAAATGACGGATGTTTGAATATATCCGTCTATTTGTTAGCAAAGGCTGTAGGAAAGTCTTTATTTAGAAAATACGGATGTTTTGCTTGTTAATTTTCCTTTTGGAACAGTGTAGATTGACCCTGAGCTTGTGGTGCGTATTTCAGCCCCCCTCAGTCTATATTAGTTATTGCCTGGCCCCCCTTATAAAAAATTCTGGCTACGCCCCTGCTGCCAGCCTATCCTCTCCTCCTCCTCCTCCTCCTCCTCCCCCCCCACGGACTGCTGCAGCGGAGTAGCTGCTGATTCACGCACAGATAACGCAGCGTGGCGTGGCGCGCCGTCACTCTTTAAATCCACGCAGCCGTGGCTGCTCCGCATCCTCCCCCCTCAGGCGTCAGGAAAGTTTGCAGTAGCTGTCTGTCGCTCTCGGACCGTCGGATCCTGCGCTTTTTAAAACTATCTGACCCAGAAAGCAGGTTTTCTGCCTCATCATGACAGCGGAGACGCGGCGCAGCAGTGGAGCCTTTCCGGTAAGAAGGGACAGTTTTCCTTCCACTCATTGTTAAACCAGCCTGCTGCAGCTGCTGCCATTCATTGTTGATCCCACTCATTGTCTCCTTTATATTCGCCTTTCTGTCCTAAAACTTCCTTCATCCTTTCGCTTGTTTGTTTCCTTCCAAATCTGGATCAATTGTTTTAGTTGTGCCACCTGTAAAAACAGCTGAACCATCAGCAGCTGGTTGGTGGATGGGAGAAGTTGGTCCATTAATGTGTTAAAACGTGAAGCTGATATTTCTGTTTCTCTATATTTAGCCAGGGTTAATCCTGTCTTATGTAATGCAATAAGAAACAGATCACTGGAAAAAGCATAACCTTGCTCAAACAAAAAAAAAAAATATGTCCAGATATCACATCTAAAATATTTCACTTCACAGAATCTGAATTTTATTGTTTGTTATGAACTTATAATATTATGTTGATGTAAACATTAATGCTGCACTTGACAAAACTTAAAATCGTTGCCCTGAACCACAATAATATATTTACATTGGACCAACCTAATATACTTCCTTTTAACTAAATTAACAAGAATTAATGTTTGTATAGAAACTAGTTAATTTAAATATAATCAAATTAGATTTTTCACATACGCGAATTTAGACAAGCCAATTAACCTAACGATCATGTTTTTTGGATTGTGGGAGGAAGCTGGAGTACCTGGGGAGAACTCACACATGTTCAGGGAAAACATGCAAACTCCATGCAGAAAGACGTGCTCTGACTGCATGCAAAACTGAAGGCAATGAATAAATATATACATATTGAGAGAAATCCAAAACTTTGTTTTGGGTCCTTTCTATGTGTAGTTCAGGTTAAATCAAACTAGATGTCTCAAAATCCAAAAAGAATGATTTACATAATCAAATCAATAATTTTATCTAGTTTAGAGTGAAAAGCATGAGTTTGAATGAACAGCTGCATGTTACACTTTTTTCAGTGTGGATGGCAATTGCTGCTTTATTGGGTCTTGGTGTGAAAATTGCAACACCTGTGATGGTGAGGCTTGTTTCTCCTGCAGCAAAACTCCATATATCTGCAGTAGATATCTATTCTTGTTTGCTCGTTGGACTCAATGTCTGTATTTTTTCTGAAGTCTTCTGATTTCACATTAGGGCTCCAAATGTGAGGGTAATGTTTGTTGCTTTTGTGATAAACCAATGAAATTTGATAACTGCCCTTCACTGCATGTCCAGCATGACAAACGCCTGCTATGATTGTAATGTTGTTGGTAACAGATTCCTCTCCCACCAGGTCCCAATCAAGAACATTGAGCGGGAGCTGATATGTCCCATCTGCAAGGAGCTCTTCACCCACCCGCTTATCCTGCCCTGCCAGCACAGTGTCTGCCACAAGTGCGTGAAAGAGCTGCTGATGCTGAACTATGAGGACTCGTTCGACGCCGGCTCTGAGAGCTCTGTGCCAGGAAGCCCCAGGTCCAGGGTGCCTTCTCCCTCCATGGAGAGGCTGGACAGGCTGGTTAGATCAGGTGAGTGCGGGTGGTGAGGAAAGCATGGTCATTAAAGTTCAGTGTGTTCCAGGAGTGAGGTTTACTGTTGAGATTAGGTTTTCAGATCATGTGTGTTTAGGAATTAGCGAGAGCCTCTGTCTGGAAACTGCTCCCTTCTGATTAGAAGTTAATTCAGCTGATGGAAATTAATAACCGGGTCGTGGGAAAAAACTTTCTGATAGATCTTGGTTCATATTTGATGGCTTTCAGCAAAGTCAAAATGATCTTTGCCCAACTGAGCCCAGTTCCTATTTACCTTCCTCTTATTTCTCCCTTTAGGTTTAGTTTTTAGTTCTGCTTCTACTTTCAAAAAGTCCAAATTAATTTTCACTTTACAAAAATAGACCAACATTCTGTGACATTGTATTCACTCATACGTCTGTTACACACAGGGCAGTGTCTGAGAGTATTTCGTGAACCGATAAGCAAATTTTGAGCTGATGCAAATGACTGGTTCAGAGTGAATAGGCTTAGAGTTGGAGCAGCAGGAAGTAGGGCAAGTATTCAATGAATATCTGGGTTTAAATGCACTGCAGATACCCCCCCCCCTCTCTTGTCCCAAATAAATTAGAACAAACATTTGAAAAAAATGATTTTGTTCAGCACCTTTTCTTATCTCCTACTCTTGAAATAAACAATGAAACTGAAGGGAATTTGATGGACCGACTGCGGTTTCAAAGGTTAAAGTGTTGTTGACAAGATCTCTGCTTGTTGATTGTCTCTGCTGGCTGCTTTTAATCGCCCTGAGGAAAACCAATGTCTATTTCAGGCATGTTTTTAATTTAGGAAAGTGCTTTGAGAATTGTAGAGTGGCTACGATTTTCATTTCACCTCTAATGCTTTTTACAGCTGGGTGGTATGTACACAGAAGACGGCACTGCACACCTGTAAGCTGATTCAAGGCTTTTAAAATGCTCTAATCAAGCAGAGTTGCTGTAAGGTAAAGCTGGTTTAGACTGGAGGAGTTGCAGAAAGCTTGATTAACTCACTGTGTCTTCCAGGTTGAACGTCCATTTGTCTTAAACAGGTTGATAAGGGGGAAAAGTAGCCTTTCTGCATCCTGAGAGGTCTGAGCTCCTCTTTACCATCTTTACAGTCGTTCCTGACTGTTCTTGCTTCAGACATTTTAAATGTTTTTTTTCTGCAACAAAAAGTAATCTCGATCCTTTATTTTCTTTCTTAAAAAAAGTCTGTAAGGTAAAAAAATTCCAACTGAGAACACTTTCACCCAATTGCCAAATCAGGCCTGCACTAATCTTACCAACATGCCAAGGAGGTAGTTTGGCCTTTCTTTTCATGTGTGAAAGCTGCAGGGCTGTAACACTTGAGGACTGACATTTCCTACCCCTGGTATAGGTTTTAACTGTATAGTATTTTTTTGTTTTTATGGCTCTAATGCATTATTATTATTTTTTTTGGGCTTGATTGGACCTGACAATTTAGTCATAAATGTAAAACGAATCAGACTTCATTCTGAAAAGTCATTGATGCAATGCTTGGAACTGGCTGATACTGTGGCTTTATTGGAATTGGTCAAATTTGGACACTTGAAGTTGAAGTGAGAACGCTCTCTGCATAAGTGCTGTCTGAACATGGCTGGCACTAAGGAAGGAGAAGGATGCTTCCTATCGAAGGTACACTCAAGATAAGGACCTCCCGGTGAACCATTAAGAGGCTTTACAGTTTCCCACAAACCTTTGCAAGACAGGAATATATAGGCGCTGTATAGCACATATGAAATTAAACAAAAGTTTTTTTTTTTTTTTCGTGTGTGCTCTGTGATCATGCTAACCTCAATGCTTGTATATGTTTTTTTTTTTTTTTAGTTCTGGTTTATCATTGTCATTCATGTGCTTTTATGTTGCATTCCGATGTCTGGAAGGGCTGTTCTGATTCAGCACAGCCATCCAGAGTTCCTATTCTACCCATGATGATGTTCTTACTGTTAACCCTGTGGAAGGTGAAGGATTAGGATCTACAATTTGCCCAATCTGGAATAGGCCTTAGTTTTGGAAAATGTTGAGTTTATACTTTTGGATGGCTACATTAGGGATAAGTGAGGTGTTTGAAAATAAGGTCTTAGCAGAAATGGTTGAAGAAGGCTATTTTAAAGGAAACTACAGGTGAGCATTCGACTTCTACTGGGAGAGTGAGGCTTTTGACAGATAACAGGAAGGCTGAACATTCCAGCAGAAGTACAGTTTCATTTGAGCTTTGAAGGTCTGTCCAGGAGCATCCTGCATCTGTTAACATTTATACATGATTTGGTCCAGAGACAGTTTAAATTGTGAAATCTTGAACAATGTTCGCTTCAATAAAACATTGATTTACAGTAACAGCTCTCTTACCTGTAACTAAAAATGATTGGATTAAAAAAAAATTATATTTTATTGCAGAGAAAGTAGAATCATGTAAAATGTACATCCCCCCCCTTGTAATACAAAGTCAAAGATAACCCCAGACTGTCATTTCAGTTTTGATATCCTGTAATTATGAACCTGAAATGCCACGTTGTCATATTCTACCATGAGGAACTTGAAGCAACAGGCCAGAGAAACGGAAATCCCTAAAGCACTGTAAGGTGAACAGCTTTCAGTGAGAGATTTAGCCCTAGCTGAAAAAGCTCTGTGTGCTTTCACTCGCTCAGAACCTCAGCAGCCTGAATGAGCTCATTATTTGGTGACAGCACTGCATCTGTTTAAAGAGAAAATGATTAAATCCTACTTTTAATAAACAAATATCTGAATTTGTTGGCACAGAAAAATAGCTTCGTATGCAAAATTTCTTGACTTTCTTTTTTTTTTTCCTAACTTGGATTAGTTTTGATTATCTGACAAATTTGCTCCTGTTTTAAATGCATCTTACCTGTAGATGCTGAAGTTTAATAGGTCTGGGGGGATTTTTGCAGGGCTTTAAACACATGATCAGCCCATACTCACTAATGGAGAAGCTTGTTGTTGTGCCTCTGCCCCTCAGAGATCAGATAACCTGTAGCCATAGTGATGCGACCTGCCTGTAAGGAATGAATGAGGGACTGAATAATAAAGGGAGGGAAAGAAAGAGCAGGCAGCTTTGGTGTGATTTGCTGGGAAATGAGGAGGTGGTCACAAAACCTAAATCGAAGTACTTTCTCAGCTTTATGTTGAAAGTGCTTCAAAGCCATGAGTATATAAAACTAACTTGTGATTGATCTAGTTAATTTTATTGACTTCAGATTAGTTTCCCAAGGGGGGTGGGTGTTAAACTGTCTTGACATAAAGTTAAAAGACTAAAATCTTTTTAACCATTATTCTCTGTTTAGCTTTCTGTCTCTTGATAATATTGCTGGGCTTCCTAGGACCAAATCAGATGGTTGAATTCCCTCAGCATCACCCAACATGATAGTGCCTTCATAATCTCCAAACTCAAATTTAACAAGTTGGAATGACATAATCTCCAAAGTAAATGCCAATTTTCAAAATGCAGACCCTCAAATTCCCCATTGCCTCAATGGTCATACAACTGACCAAAAAAAAACCTTTTCTACATGGTATTTTGTGCATAAACGCAGCTTTAAAACGTATCATCCTCTAAACACAAGTAGCCCCCTGAACGACTGACTTAATGCTGCATACATTATAGAGAAACTCTGCAAATTGTTAAAGTAGCAACATTTAACTACTATTGACCCATTCAAGATTTAATTTTGTTTCTTGATCCAGATTAGGTCAAGTCTGCCTCATACTTTAAAGGTCCTTGGCTTATAGGCATAAATATTGCATTGCTTTTTACTAACCTTTCAAGTACACTCCAACGACTCCCTAAATGTATTCAATGTTGCACTTTTCTGTTTACTCCAATGTTTTGCCAGGGGTTGAGTTTCTACATGTTGTCCTTATCATGCTGCTCCATCACAAGCTGGATGGCTAAGAAAGCCACAGTAGGATGCACCACCTAAAATATGCTGATCCTGATCATACGTCTAAAGATGTAAAATTACAGAAAGTAAAACAGGTGCAAAGTACAATTAGCCTCATCAACACATCATTGGTTTTTCAGCAGAGTACCTTAATGTAAAGTGTTTAAGTATAAGGGCTCTGAAGCATTTCACTGGTTTACATGGATTTGGGATTTGTTGGTTATTCTTACAGAATATCTAAATAAATTTAGGGGTTTTCTTCAAAATAAATGCTTGTAAAGATAAGCGGGTAAGTTGGTGGATACATTTAGTTTGTGATGCACCAGTTTAGTTTTTCAACAAACTAAACAATGTTTTTGAGTTTTATTACGGTACTTTTTTTTCTTTTTTTTTTCTAAAAGCTGTTCAGAATATAAATCAAAGTTAACAATATTTTGTGATTCATAGCCTGTTTTTATTCTCTTTTTCTTTTCAAAGTTTTTCTTTTTTCCACTCTAAAGCTTTTACCATGGATTCACTCGTCACTTTCATATTCTGTATGGCTTCATTTCTCTTGTTGGTCTCATTTCACCTCTCTGTCCATTGCTTGCAGCCACAGGGCGAAGGTCGTTTGGAAGTCGAGGTAGACGTGGGCTCCGTGTTTTCAGTAGCTATGGTAGTGAGTACAGTGATGCTTTAGACCCCAACCCCTGCCCTTCTTTGTAAACCCTAGTTTGGTTGAAACTCTTCCTCTGCATTTCCAACTTTAGTTCTCTCAACACAAACATACGAACTCAACCCTCCAAGATGGAAATCTGGATTTAATTAATTTATACTTGACTTTAACTAGGCCAGTTTTGCTAAAGGTGCATTTTGTTAAACAATGTATTAAAGTAAACACAAAAGAACAAAATTGGTGGGGAAGTTTCTGGGAAGTTTTTTTTTTTTTTTTTTTACTGGAATGTGACCTGCTGGCAAGTAAACCAGTCAAAGAGGATTATTTTCCTTTTCAATTTAAAAGATCAAGTACAGAAAGTGAAATCCTTAATATTTGGTGTAACATATTTCTTTTGTATTATAGACTTCATTATAGAGAAATGAAGGTCTTGCTAAATTTCTACATTTTGAATTTTAAGGCTGGATCAGTCTGAAAAACAAGCTTAACATTTGAGGAACTTAAAATTATCAGTAAGGTTCTGTTTAAAGGGTATTAGAAAACAATTAACCAGTCTGGATGGATTTTTGACTCTTTGTTAGTCACTATTAGTAAAAAAGTATTTATTCATCCTTAAATATCGAGTTCAGGTATTCCACTCCACTTCCATGGCCACAGGTATTTAAGACCAGCACCTAGGCACGCAAGCTGCTTCTAAGACCTTTATGAACAAATGAGTTACAGTGAAATCGGTGTTCAGAGGTCTCCAAACTTCTGCAGACCTGGCTAATCTTAAGGACCGGTAATAATCAGGAAGCTTGTGAAAAGCTTCATTAAATAAGTTTTCGGGATTGAACAGCTGCAGCCAAGGCTTCCATCACAGATCTATGCTGTGATGTTAACCACACTGCCTCTGGACTCTTAGCAGTGGGGAGATATTCACTGCAGCCATCTCTTGGATGAATGCGAGTGAACACTGCAGGACAACGTGCCTGAATTCACTTCCAGTAGAATGGTAAAAAGAAATGGCATTTACGCATTCCTAAAGTTGTGAAGCACCTTAGTGCAGCTGAAGCTCTTGTATCATTAAATGGTGTACCAACATCATAATCAGCCCCATGTATTAGAGACAGGATGTTACAAGTTTAAACAATGAGCAAAAACCTTTGGAAATATGGTGCAATAGGGCTGACACAATTGGATTATTATGATTAATCCATTATTGAAATAATAATCATTTAATTTAGTAATTGCTCATTAACTGGAATATAGAGACTCTAAAAGATGCTTGTAGCTGACAAAGCAACCCAGTTAGAGCAGTAATTATATTAATATTGTAAAAGAAATATATGAAAATTTTGCATTTAACATGCTCTATCCAATCAAGTGGAAAACTTTGAGTTTAACCTGTTTTAATGGCAAAAAGTCTTCTTTAAGGAATCTTTGGCTATCTGATTATCAATCGACAGATTAATCGATCTGTAATTCCGTAAATGTTTAAAAAACAATCCACTGGACTTGGTTGCCAAGATTTGAAGACGTTTCGTCACCTCTCCAGGAAGCTTTCTCAATTCAAATGTCTGGATCCGCAGTGAGTTTGAGTCTTTATATAGACATGGCCTTGTATTGCTTAGAAACATGCAAATGGCAACCGATGAATGGGTCGTTTGGTTCCATTCCAGCCTGTAATACCTGAAACCTGTCTTTGATTAAGGGTCAGTCGTTAAGGAGGTACTTTGTTCCTCAGTGATGGGGTGGGGGGTGTGGTGATATCTGGAAGGGTTCATATCTATAACAAAATAGTACGTTTTTGGAAACTGGAATCTGAGTCTACCACCTCTGTTTAAAGTTGATTTTTCTCTCTTAACATAGATGGCTTCCTTCACACCCCTCTCAAAGTTAAGAGTTATAGAGATGATCCCTTCCAGATATCACCCCCCACCCCATCAAAAAAAAACAAAGTAGCTCCACAACCCGCTCATCGGTTTCCATTTGCATGTTTCCACGCAATACAAGGCCTTGTCTATATAAAGACTCAAACTCACTGCGGACATTTGAATTGAGAAAGCTTCCTGGAGAGGTAGCGAAACGTCTTCAAACCTTGGAAACAAAGTCCAGTGGATTGTTTTTAAACTTTTACAGAATGACTGACCTGGATGATGGAGAATCTTCATCAGCATATCGATCTGTAATGTAATTGTTAGTTGCAGCAGTAGTCAACAGATCTTGGGGATTGTTAACGGTATACGGTTATGACTTCAATAAAAATATAAACATGAATAGAAGGGAGTTATGATTATACCTGAACAGCAAACATTAAAAAAAAAAATGTCTTCCAATAAGGGTTATTCTTTTCCTGCAGTTATTTATTCCGAGCTGCTGCTTCCTATCCAAAAATGATTGAGACGGCACATTTCGCTATAGGGATATCCTATATGCAGTTTGTTTGCTCACACTTTTTCCTGAGTCATCATGTTTCTGAAAAGAAAAATCCATTTATTGATCCCTTTTCCTGGACAAGATACAACCTCGGTCTTTAGTAGTAGCTTTAAGTAAGGCTTTCATCATCCAATAACTTGTCTAAGAAGGTTGTCTTCAATGCTATTGGGGTCATCTTATTGTCAGATCACCATGGCTCAAACTGATGGCTAAATAAATCATGTCTGGGTCATTCGACTTTCTGTAGGATTTGTAATATTTGGCCCATATTGAGATTTCACCACCTTCTTGGTGAACTGACCCCACACAGACACAATCTTCATTTCACCCAGCATGCATATGGCTACTGTAAACAGATCAGTTTGTTGCTCTATCACAGCTTTTTATTTGTGTACAGTTCTACCTTATTTCTGCAGAAATGCTGTTTGATGTGGCTTCCTTGTGTGTTTTGCTCACCTGAGGAGTGTTTGATTTAATTTCCAGGTCCCCGGAAGCGAAGTGGAAATACTGGCTTACAATCTGAGATAAATCCAGCACTCCTCTCTTCCCCTGTCCCTCAAAAACGTGACTCAATTTTTTTTATTTTGTGTGTCTACTGACTTTAGTTGCTGGCTTTCAGTGTAGTCATTCTGCTTGTCTCAGTGATGTGATCTTGTGAACGGTTTGAGTTTCCATCTTTCTGCCTTGTTATGATGCTGTAGCATCACTAACAAGATGGGTATTGTGCAAAACTCTTGAAAGCAGAGGTGTTTTTGAGAGATTTTGGTAATGTTGCATTGCACTGAACATTTGATATAAAAGTTTTTTGTAGTTTTTTTTTATCTATATTGAAAGCATTTTTATTTGAGTCTCGTAGTGGTTTTGTTGAATACTTATTGTTTTTGTTTTCCTCATATTTTTAGTTTCTATGTCGCTTTATTTATTTTTTTTGGGGTGGGGGGGATTTGTTTGACTAACTCATTGTTTGCACTTAGTTTGTTTATTTCAGACATACAAGTATATAATAAAGACAGTATATGTCCATATAACATAAATTAAAACGGTCTGAAAAAGGGTGTATTGGCAGAAGCAAGAAGCTTATAATGTTCCATTCTTCCCTGATTGTTTCCCATTTTGCCTTTTTTTCCCCCCTCTGGATGACATCTGCCTCTTGTATTGCCTGTGTTGGTGTTTTGCTCTATATACCATTCTTCCATGCAGTTGTCATTTTAGAAAAAAAAAAAAAGCTCAAAGGGAAACATACAGAGGTCCTATTTGTGAAGGCAGCGCACAAAGGCGTTTTGGCCATAAGATCATAGTTGGCAATTCGCTAATGATGATGTAACTGGAGGATGGGTCATGTTCATCCAAGCCCCCCATTCGAATCTCTTGGAAACCATTACTTTCTTGTAATTCATGACTTTGTTGCTTGCATGTCCAAATAGGGCCTCAAACAAGACTGGAACTGTTATGGCCTGAGGGTGGGAATCATTCTACTCTGAATCTTTTTACCCAACTTGAGCCTTTTTGCTTTCCTTCAGGTTCAATTTCATCGCCAGGCTGGCGCAGAGGCTCTGTGACGCCCCGGGTCACCGCCATCCCATGCCCGGGCTGCCAGCATGACATTGATCTGGGCGAACGCGGCATCAGCATGTTGTTCCGCAACTTCACCCTGGAGAGTATCGTGGAGCGCTACAGACAAGCCGCGCGTGCAGCTGTGGCGATCATGTGCAACATCTGTAAACCTCCAAACCAGCAGGAAGCGACGAAGAGCTGCATGGATTGCAAAGCTAGCTACTGCAATGAGTGCTTCAAACTCCACCATCCCTGGGGCACGCCCAAAGCCCAGCATGAGTATGTTGGTCCCACCACAAATTTTAGGCCAAAGGTAAATGACAGCACTACATGTGAGTTGTGATTCACGAGAGACTGCTCACATTTTCATGTGTCTCCCTGAGCTGTCCCCCCCCCTTCAAAAAACGGAGTTGTCACCAGTGTAAAAAAGAAGGGGATAAAGAATTGTGCACATAAGTGCATATTGGATATCTTTTATCTCTGCTCTAATCATGATCTTCAAAAGTTTTTTTTTTTGTGTCTGGTGCAAATTTTTTTACCCTAAAAATTGTAGAATCTGCATATAGCCCTGTCTTTAAATCAAACATGGCTGAGATTGGAGCTTTGCAAACAAGCTGCAACAAACGTCTTATTTGAACATCAGATGATTCGTAGCATTTTGAATCGATGAGTCACAAAGCGGTGTACCACCTGTGATCATTGTCCTTAGAAGTTCATTGATCCATTTACTTTGAAGGTATGTGGAAGTAAATATTGTAGTTCTAGTTTTAAAGTTCCTGCCCAAGAGAGGTCCAGCTTATTTAGGAAACAAATAGAAAAGGGACATTTTCCCTGCTTGTTCTTGACATTGAAATTATCTTCAGTTAGTTTTAATTATCTTTAGTTTTAGACTAAACCTCTTTGGTTTTAAAAATGGTATATTTTAAACTGGTACATGTTCTTCCACAAACTTATTGTGCAATAATTGATTGATATTGAATGAAAAATAAAATATTCCAGATTAATAAAACTAGTGCTGATTAAGTTGCAAAATCATCAATAGAACATAAAGATAGAAAGTTTATTTTATGCACTGAAATATCTGCCATCGGTTTAATTTCAATCCATTTAAAGAAAAAGAAGGTTAAAATGAGTGGGGAAACTGGGTTTAAATGGTTAAAACAGACAAATGCATGTAATTAAAAGTGTTTAAAGCATGCAGTTCCCTGTGTGCAAAAACTGGTTCATCTTATGGTTCAAAAAATTGCAAACAAACTGCAGAGACCAGTTAAACTTAATCAAGCAGCTCAACTTCAGTCTTTGACCTATAAAGGCAGATCTTGGCATTTAAAAATACTGATTCATCTCTCTGTATTTTAAGACCGTTTTCAGAACTTCCTCCTTTTACCAACTTTTAGATCCTGTTTCACTTCAGTTGTTTTTTTATCTATGTTGCTTTATGTTTGAATGCTGCAATCTGCAGCCAAATGTTTCAGATTTTCTGTCTAATTTGACACTGCTTGTTTAGATTGATGGAACTCTATTTGTACCACTTGTCCTGAACCATGATTGGTGTTTTCTTTTTGTTTAATGTCATAGGTACTAATGTGCCCAGAGCATGAGATGGAGAAGGTCAACATGTACTGTGAAGTCTGCAGACGGCCGGTGTGTCACTTGTGCAAACTGGGAGGCTCCCATGCCAACCACAAAGTCACTTCAATGAGTAGTGCTTACAAGATCCTAAAGGTAAAATGCCTATTGGTTTCCTGAGGAAAAATAATTTGAAATACCGTACAGTTGTTTTTTATCTACACTGGATGGGGTCAAAAACAAAGATTGAACTTAGCCATTTAGTCTATTGATGTTTTTACACTAAACTCTTAATAGTTATATACGCTTTTACAAGGGAATGTGTTCAGATGGTCCCAAATGAAAGAACTCCTTTTAATCTGAGTCTGATTAAATGTGGGAAAGTAAAAGTGCATGTGGAGCTTGTATTTTGTTGTCTTGTACCATGCATCAACTGGTCCCTGGCTCTCTTTCTCCTGTTGTAATATTAATGCCTGACCTGTACCTGCTGTGTGCGTCAGACTGTTAACGATCCTTTTTTTGGAAACTTAAACCCATGCTGGTCAACATCAGATTTGTACCCCAGTAGAATTTGTTTTTGTGGGGCTCTTGCCACTCAAAGCAAAGTCCCTGTAACTCTGGACGCTTGTCTCTTTGTCTGCAAACAACACGTTTCTAAATATTTAATGAGATCATTTGTTGCTCATCACTCTGCACACATTTTAACTTCAGATTCGATTATGTATCGGATGAGCCGAGTGGTCCTGGAAACACCCCTGTCAGGGAACTGCTTTTAACACTAATGCATTATGGCACACTTAGGAAATTACTTATAGCTGCTGTAAATGTATTGGATATCTGACCCAGGTCCAAAGAAATTACTGGCATATATATGGAAATGTTCAAGTTAGATTTTATAATGTAAATGTATTTTGTTGTTTTAATAAGTTGTTTAAAATATTGTGCTGATCTTTTGTCTCTCCAGGAGAAGCTAGCCAAGAGTATCCATTACCTCATCAGTAAAGAAGACCAGGTCAGGACTCAGATTACTGAGCTTGATCGGCTCATCAATCAGACCGAGGTGAGGGAGGGAGGGAGGGAGGGAGCTGAGTCATGCTGCTAGCACTCCTTCTCTCAGGATCTTCTTTAATCCCAAAAGTGCTGAGTGTAACCAATATTTATCAGTCCAAGTGGTAAATTTACTATTTTCAGTTAAGGTTTGGCTCCTTCCTACAAGTTTATATGCTTCTTATTGTAAATGGAGTTAAATTTCCAGTTCACTCCTGAGGTTTTGTTCTCCTCTAGTTGCCTTAATGAAAAACATTTTCAAAGACCTACCTTTTTTAAGATTTTTGTCTATAATTGTGCAAATATTCACGCCTTTCTAGAAATACTTATGGAATATTTTAACAACCTTCCTTTATTCAAAAGGCTGTATATTTTTCTGTTTTATGTTGGAATTCTTTGCTCTAATACGATGGGATCCTTTAAGGGTCTTTTAAAAAAGAACTATTGTCCTTTGTGGACTTCAATGTCCTTAGATTTCCTCACCCCTTTTATTCATCTTCTTTGCTTTAAAGAAATATTTGTTTATTTTAATGTATGTTTATTGAAATGATTCTTTCTAAAGGAAAATGGACAGGTTGCAGAGCGACAAGCCAATGAGCACTTTGAACGCTTGTTTGAGACCCTTCAAGAAAGAAAATCTGAGATGCTAAGATCCATTGAACAGTCCCGGAACCGACGCATAGACCAGCTGAAAGGCCAGGTACCACATGGCGACGCATATTTTTACGTTTTAATAACTTTAAACTATCCCTATTCATTTTAAATGTACATTAAAGGTTTTTTTGTTGTTGTTAAATGCTTGATTTGTTAAATGTCCTGTAGGTGGAAGAGTACAGGGGCATGTTGGAGAACAGTGGTTTGGTCGGCTACGCCCAGGAGGTGCTGAAAGAGACGGATCAGTCCTGCTTTGTCCAAACTGCAAAACAGCTGCATGTCAGGTAAAGAAATATTATCAGTACTGAAATATTAAACATATTAGCTTAATTGTGAAGTTCCAGCTTCAACCAAAGAGTTGGATGTAGATGTGCTTTAGTGTTTTCAAAGTGTCTCAGAGTATTCTGGTCCATTTAAGGAGACAGCTGAGGTAAATTAAAGAGAAGTGAACATTTTTAAGAGGTACCTAGTAACAAAATGCCGTCCCTACCTTACTTTTTGCTGTGCACTGCTAGGCAGCTGCCATGACAAAGCTATTATGTCTTCTCATACTTGCAGAGTAGAATAAAGAGGCTGTTGGAAAGTTACGGTCAAACAATGTAAAACCCAGTCAAGTTGTAGAAGGTAAAGGAACTCCTTCCTTCATTCAAATCAAACTTTTAAAGTTCAGCTTGGAATCTACCAGCTGCCTGCACAGTTTTTACATAAAGATAAATAAATATTAACTTTTAAAAACTAATAAATTATTTACTTCATCATACAGTAAGAGTGTAAATACCATGAAAAATGTTAGATTTACCATTCGTTTATGTATGTATGTGAACAAGGTTAGCGCGTACCTGTTCATTTTTATCATAGGTCCTTTATTAGTATTTAAATTTTGTTTTAACACAAGAATCAAATGTTAAAGGGATGGAAAATTTAAAACCTGAAATTTGAATTGGATATTATATTGGATATTAAAGAAACTAGATTTAAATCAGTTGCAGGTGCTTTTTCCTTGTAGCTGTTTTTAGCAGGATTGGGTGTTTATTTTAGTGTTGAGCCCATTAGACTGCTTATGTGACTGCAGTGTCGGGAACATGCAGTCACGTGCACAGCGGTTACCAAACCGAAGGGCGGTTAGGAAAAGCTTTATGCTGCAGAGCATGGTGTTGCATCTTCTCCACTAAGCTGTATAATTGATCTAGTTTAGCAGCTTTGGTTAATCTGAGAAACCTTTCACTTGGGGGACTTAAACTTGTGGGCTTATTTTCACTGCTAAAGCTTTTCTTTTTTCTTTTTTTGTTTATACTTGGAAAAATGTCTCTTGTTCTTTTTTTCCTTCAGGATTCAAAAAGCCACAGAGTCACTGAAGACCTTCCATCCCTCAGCTGACCCTTGCTTTGATGAGTTTGTGCTGGACACATCTAAAGAGGAGACCCTGCTGAAAGAGATGTGTTTTGGTGGAGGTACAGCCACTGTGTCTAATGCTCTTTGCATCATTTCAGTCATCAAACTCTGACTAAAACCTTTATATCAAGAAATGTAATATCCAAATCAAATTACCGGTAGATTTCTTTGTCATTGGGGCACGCTGTGTTGCACCTGCTCACAATCCAAGATAATGTGGCAAACTTTCCATTTTGTTAATTTTAGGTTATGGGCACAGTCTTCATGCTTAGCATTTTGTTTTAATGGTGTTTTAATAAACCTGATGACCAGAATAATGAGTTTGTAATTACCTGATGGTCATATGCTCAGCTCTGTGAAGAAAGCAGAGGTCCTCTGAGATGACCAAGCAGGTGGTTGAACAGAAAATGGCTCCTTAGCAGTAAAATCAATGAGCCACACTGATAATAAATTAATGCACATATAAAACCATGTACATCGATATATGCAAGATGCATTAATAATTATGCAAGCTGAAGGTAATAATGTTGGTCTACAATCCATCAAGATAAGTGCAACTTGAATATTAAACAACAACATCATCAGCATTGCATTATTTGATAAGTTGAATGATTTGGGACTTTTGTTTTTTCTTAGCCATTTGGAAAGGTGTAAAATGGTCTGCTGGAGGTTTCTGCCTGTTAAAAAGGAGTTCTTTCCACTCCTTTCCTCGCTAAAATTATGGTTGGTGTGAGGGGATTGCCTTCCAGTCAATGAGTCGATGCAATCAGCTGGTTTTCCTTAGATGGAGAACTTGGAACCGATCTGACTGCATGATCTGGTTGAATTGTCTCTGTAAAGTGCCTTTAGATGACATGTTGTGATGTTGGCACTTTATAAATAAAATTCATTAAAATTATTGCAGGCAAAATGATGAGGCTTCAATTCTTTGCGCAGCTAGCTACACCATACTGTCTCTGAACTTTGAGCATCTTACTGATCTCTAGGGGTTTTAGTTTCTCTGCTATGCCATGTAAGTCTGATTTCTAGAGATGGTTTAAACCTGGATTTTATGCTTAAATCAAGGCTGGATTTTACCTTTTTCTTTTTAGATGGGAACTTCTTATTTCTGCTCAACTAATTAGTCAGTTTGCTGGGCATATTTATGTGTATTAAAAAAAAAATGGCCTCAGTCTTTCTATAGTCTTTTGAGTCTTTGAAGAAAGTGTTATAATGGAAGAGTTGGTAGCAGCAGTATTGATGTTGCTTTAATCTTTACCGCCTGCAGGCCTCTGCTGCAGTGACTCACTCTCTGTATTCAGGCCAGAAAGATGCTTTCCTGTGCTGCAGTGAATGAATCCAAGTCTTTGTAGATGAAGCTTTGGTTAACGTAGAACTGCTCCATATAAAACCCAGCTGATACTATGAGGAAGCAGAAGGCTCCATTGTATTCACTGTTTATAATGAAATAACTGATTTATTTTGATTTGTTTAAATAGTTTGTAGTATTTTTGTAATAATTCACTTCAGGCTTAATGAAGACAAATGTATTATAGTTGTCTTATTTTAATTTTCTGATTAAGTTTGAACATGCTATTAGAAAGGTCAGGCAGAAACATTTTAAACCAAAATAAAATAAAGACTATGAATGTTTTTAAAGCTACAGATTCTGCAGCTCTGGAAAGCTTTACTTCCTGTAAATTGAGAAATATTTGTAAATAAGGAGACCGATCAATGGAGGAAAGGTTAACAGGAAGGGTGAAGTGCCATCAATGCTATGGATGCTGTTGCTTATTTCACTTCCAGGAAGCTTCATGAAAACCTTTTAAGCTCCATTATGCAAAATCATTTAAACCTTTCTGCTGGATGGGAAAAGATAAAGTTTGTTTTATAATCCTTTTTAAAGCTTTATTTTTATAAATCCACGTTGATCCTGAAGGACAACACCTCACATGATTCTGTAGTCTTTGCCTTACCTGAAACAAACTCAAAGACGTATTTACCCCTAAGAATTTGGATGACCTTGTCATTTCTAGCTTTTATTTTTTATTTTTTCTCTCATCTTCCGACCAGTTCCAGATCCTCCTCTGATTGACTTCTCCCAAAGCAGAGTTTATAACGAGGCGTCGATCTGCTGGAGGCTGCCAGATGACCATCTACCAACCGATCACCATGTTCTCGAGTACCGCAAGTGTGTTCAGTTATTATTGTGGAGAGTTGGTCACTCCGCACACTTTTATGAAAAGAAATGTTGATACTACAGTGCTGTGTTCCAGACTTGGTGGACCAAGCCAGCCCCCATCCCATGAGGATACTGAGGACGGTTGTGTCTGGAGGGCTACAGACAGGGTGTATGGATCCAGTGCTGTGGTGCAAGACCTGCAGCCAGACAGTCGATACGCCTTCAGAGTTCGAAGCTGCAGAAACTCCATGTTTAGCCCGTACAGCCCAGAGGTCTCCTTTCACACTCCACCTGCTCCTGGTAAGTTAACTTTCCCTTTTCATCATTTGTTTTCTTCTACAGCAGATGAGCCAAACCTTTTTTTTTAAGTTTCTGGTCAAACGGTGGAATAAACTAAACAATGTCTTCATTTATAGCGATGCAGCTAATGTAATGTTTGCTATATTTATCAAACGATGATTTACTTCAAGCATATTTTCAAGGATATTTTTTCTTTTTAAAAAAGGTTTCTAGTTTTTATTTGAAGTTTAAAGGGTTTTATTCGTTTTTACATTTTTGGAGGAAGGGGGAAAAAAAACAATTACAGGGTTTTTATTTGTAGGCTACTAGATAGTATGTTCGTCTACTGCACATTTTAGAAATACTGTGCTTAGTTAATCAGTGCATGCTACCACAGAGGTCTGTGAGTAGGTAGCACACACAGGTTATTGTGGATCCATTTGTCTGCATTCTTGGGTCTGGAGTCTCATTTTCCTCTTGACACTAGTCTGTGGATCAGGAATCGCCAACCCTTTTGAAGCGGATAATTATTCAGATTTACTTAATAATATGAAGGGCTGCCAATATTGATCCATAAACTGGAGTAGTGGGCATTCACCTAAATTAGATGAAAAACATATTTCTAATATTCTTTTAAGATATCGTCATTTTCAAATCTCTATAGTAAAAGTAATGCAAGTACAATTAAGAAAAATAAAATCGGCAACATTTTAGAGGCATCTCAAAGGTGAGTTGTGCTGTTTTTATCAGGGGCTCAAGGCTCCTTATGTGGTCCTTGATGATGCCCTGGTCCCTGAGGCCACCATGTTGGTGACGCCCTGCTATTCAAAATGGGTTTCAGGTCCGCCCAGTTTTCCGTCACATCTACCAACACTTTGTTTAATAGCCTGTTCAAATAACTTAAATGTAAATACGTTGTTACTGAACTTGAGTAGCTTTTTTCAGGGATCATTACATGTGCTTCACCAGATCTCCAGGCATGGCTGCTTAATGCAATGAGTCGGACAGACAAGGAAAAAACCCTATATACATACTAATAATGCTATGATGTAACAGCTGTGATAAAACGGAGGGGAATCAGGAGCATAAAGAGAAACTTTCCAGTTGGAGACCAGTTTGTTTATAGAAAAACACTGATGGTGACATTAAGACAGAGGGCACATGATGGATCAAATTCTGAGACACAAGAAGATCCTCATCTAGTCCTTATTTATTAGGTTAAAATATATGATTACTGATTTTGGTGTATGAAATGTTATGTTTCAAGTTCTTTTTCAGTTTAAATGCTATTTGCAACTTTAATGCCAGAACTCTGAAAGTGTTTAACTGCTATGCAGGCCTTCTTCTCACTTCTAAACTATCCTTTCTGAAATTTTAGTCTGCAACTAAACTAGATGGTCAGTATTTGTTTGCTTTCCCGGCACAATAAACAAGATGAAAAATAATCTAGTTTTTGAGCCAAAAACCAAAACGGTGTTTTGGTTGGTCCTGCATGTGAGGGGAGCCAGTAACAATCTGCAGGACAATTTCTCTTTTTGCTCATTGGTGTTTAGGCCTCAACCTCTGTTAAAAAGGTTTTATTATTTAGTAATTCAGTTTGGTTAGAAATATTTATCAGCTAAAATTACCTTTTTTTTCTGCAATGTTCTAATTCAGATGAACATGTACATAAAAAAAATAAATAAATAAATAAAAAACTGCATTAGAAAAGCACCAAGAAGGAAAATAAATTTGGACATTTCACTTAATTACCCGAAGTCCAAACACTTGGATGGATTGTTTGTGTCACATGCATTAATTAACAAGCAAACAGACTACTGGAGCCACAATCCTGTTTGTGGCCTCATTTTGGCTCAAGTGGCAGCAGCTAAGCTCTTTTTCTCTTCAGCTTCTGGGAGCAACTCTGAGAATTTTTACCATATATTTTTTTTAACATCAAGATGAACAGATTGGCTCCTTTTTTAAATATCCAATTGTTGCAGCTTCTATTGAAGAAATCCTGAAGCAGATGGTTACTTTCTTCGTCACCATGTTTTGTGTTTTTTTTTTTTTTTTTTTAAATTGTGTGGCAGCCAGAGTCTAGTCTGAAAGCTTGGAAAAGCAAACTGCTGGCACATCTTCTTGGCATCATTTCTCACTGAAACAAGCAAATTTGTCCAAAACCTACCAAAAATTTAGAAATCAAACATAGATTGGAACTCTTCCAGTCAATTTCATGGTCAGCATCAGTGTCTAAAAGACTGAGTGCAACTTGTAAATTCCTATGTAATTTTAAGGAGATGCAAAGCATCACCAATATTTAAATGTTTCCATGTTTGGACTTTTACATACTTGTTCTTGTGTATTACTGATATGCAAACTGAGTTAAAAGTAATGTGCTTGTTTTAAGCATCAATAACAGCCTTTTAAAGACTTGTGTTGCCTTAAAGGTATAGTGGACGACTTTCTTTTTCAAGGTGGATCATCAAAATAAGTGGTCCTCCTAATTGTCAATCATTCTTGTGATATGTTTACGTAAGGCCATCCTACGTGCTTGTCTCCATTTTCACTTACTGGTGGTAAGTCTGACGGAGAAGAAAAATTGCAAATCTTTTCTCTTTTTAAGCTTTGTATGAGCGACACAAACGGCAACTTTTAAACGGAGTGTGCACGAAGAGAAATTGACTCGTACACGTGTTTAATAGGTGTTCCCTCTCGGGAGCGGGTACAGGGTTGTTCATGTGTAGTATTATTATTTTATATTAAGTGGAGAGGGCAGGTCTTTTATAAAATGTATCAAAATCCTCCACTATACCTTTAAGTTTCCAGTGGAGAAATCAGATTTAGCTCAATAACTGAAGGACATTGGATGTTTCCAGATCTTTAATGTGCCCATCTGTTAAACACTATAGAATTATACTTGCAGAAAAGCCGAACAAACAAACTGCTGGAACATATACTGCTAACCCATATTCAGTCCACATTATATCAGTGGTAAACACAAGATTACTTTGACTTTCATTTTCTTCTTCAGGCATCTCCTACTTGGCTGTTGGCATACACTTGTTATTAAAGCTAACCTTATTGCTGTGGCATAGATGCTGTTCACCCCTAATCTGTTTATTATTTTCATGCCCTAGTTGGTATACGGTCTTCCCAGACACATACAGTTTGGCTTTGCCTGCAGAAAACTTCAGTGTGCAGTAGGATGCCTGAGTGAACACGTCGTCCTGGATCTCTATAATCATGGCCTTGGGCCTGAAGGCTATTTATTTATAGATTGCTATTAATTTTAACCAGTTGCTATTTTTGAATATGAACAGGAGATAAGAAATGAAGATTCTTGTGTATAGGCCATTTTAAATATTCTAACTTGGTGTCCTAGCGCCCTCTTGTGTCAGCTTCTGCAACAAGTCTTTTAACAAATCCTCAAGGTTTCACCTGAAGGGGACAAATTATGACTTTTGTTCCTGATTTACCACCTTTAACCGTACAGTTTGATCTCTTTTCATGTGCAGTTTTTAGCTTCCTGTTCAGCGATAAGTGTGGATTTAGCACTGAGCGCCTCATCCTGAACAATCGACGAGACACGGTGGAGAGCGTGGCAGGCATGGCTTTCCTCCTTGCAGCAGAACGAGTGCAAATGGGCAGCTACCTGGGTCTGGATTACATCATTGGGGACACCGGCATCTCTCAGGGGAGGTGTGCAAAGAATTTGTGTGAAACATGTTTCACTGTAACATGAGCATGCTGATGGAGTGGGAGGAAAATGGCTAAAAGGCTTTTCTTTTGCAGACACTACTGGGCCTTTAAGGTGGAGCCTTACTCTTACATGGTTAAGGTGGGCGTAGCTTCTGACACCAAGCTGATTGAATGGTTCCACAATCCAAGAGACACCAGCAGCCCAAGGTATGTGAGACGAATTAATGATTTTCCCTTTAATCCAACAAGCTGAATCTATTCCTGTTTGTTACGTAGAACATATAAATAAAAGCAGGAGTCCGTTTAATTGATATAAATCTGCATACATTATCCTGTTATGCAAGAGAGCTAGTGTGAACTCATTAAAGGCTTAAGCCTTTCTCACTGGATTAACACCTGTTATGTCAAACTCATTATTTTGACCATTAAAATCTTAAACTGTGGTATTTGCAATCTGTTTCATTAAACGGCAAAAAAACTTTGTCAATAAATTGGCAGAAAATTATGTATGAGGAAATAAATGTTAGGCTTAAAAAACGTGTTTTTTCTTTGTTTTTGTTTTTTCCAGTTTTCATTATTAGCCACCAGGCAAAAAACATGTGAAGGACATCAACTTGGCTTTTACTATATTGTTTTAGTTTTAAAATACTTAGCTATAGTCAGACTAGCCCTGACATTTTCTCTTAACCTTTTGAATTATTTTTTACATGAATTTTAATAAGATCCTTTTTTTAACCCATTTAAGTATGCAATGAAACATAAGCAAAGATTTTCCCTTGAAAGTATGAAAAGTATTTAGAATTTTAAATGTTCAAATTGACAGAAATAAAATGAGGCCTAAAAAGCCTTCAGTATTCTGCATGCCAAACATAAGAATGAACAGGAACCTGGTCAAAAATACCCTCAATCCTCTCATAAATGCAACTTAAAACAGAGGACATGATGTTTTTTAACTCTCTATATTCATGTTCTCCTTTGTTACATTTTGAATGTTCATTTATTTTATGGTTTATATTGAATCAGATTCAAGCAGACTTTCATCTACACAATTATTTTGAAACAAATTAAGATCAACTTAGTCCACTGTACAAAGTCTGGACATTAACACATGCAGGCAGGGTTCATGAAACATGTCTGAATGTTTATTAATGGGGAGCATAAAGGATATGGATGTCTTACACTGAGGTTATTTAATATTAAAGCACAGTCAAGCTTTTCAAATGCCCAGAAAATGGTTTGATAAATATTAATTTTGCTTGCAAAGTTTGCAAAAGTTGAAGAATTATACAAATAATTGGTTGTACATAACTAGCTGCAGGAAATGCAGAAGTGCTGTAAATCCAGGACAGTGACTGACTCCAGCCTGGCCATCTGTAATAGTAAAATACTGACTGCCAATGTAACCATGAACTTTTTTAGTCATTAAGGAAATATTGGGAGCAAACTGACAAAGAAATCCTCCAAACTTTTCGTCTTTCTCCAGGTATGACCATGACAGCGGGCATGACAGTGGCAGCGAGGACGCATGCTACGAGCTCTCCCAGCCCTTCACCCTCATCACCCTGGGCATGGGCAAACTCTTCATCCCCAAGGCCTCTTCTTCCTCCTCTGTTTCCAATGCAAACGTATCATCTGGCGACCCAGGCAATCGAGTCCTCCCCATGCCGCAGCGCTTGGGTATATGCTTGGACTATGATGCGCATCGGGTGTATTTTTATGACGCAGACACCATGAGGTGCCTTTTTGAGAGGCAGGTCGACTGTTCGGGAACGATGTTTCCAGCCTTTGGTCTCATGGGCAGCGGGAAGGTCCAGCTTGAGGAGTTCATCACTGCTAAGAAACTGACCTTCTGAGGAAAGATGGAAGCTGATGGGCTTACAATTGTTCTGGGGGGTATTTTCTGTGAAGAGCTATGAGGTGGTTTGTCATGCGAGGGTAAAACTGAACCCTCTTGTTTTTTTTAAGATGAGCCAGATATCAAGGTGTTTTAAATTTTTTTTTCCTTTTCCCCCACATGTCTATGACTGAAAGCTGCTCCAAACTAACTGTTCACATGTAGATGACTTTGGAGATTGATATGAAAGGTCATTTTTACAAACCAAAGTCTCTGTATCTGAATCGTTGCTTTTATTTACCAGCTGGGCTCAGCTGTTACTCAACTGGCTACAGAATTGGTAGTCGCTTTAAATCTTTGTTTTAACATAATACACGTTACACTGGGACACTGCTTTAATAGTCTAGGTTATTTCTTTTTTTTTTTTTTTTTTTTAATAGTGCTTGTTGGGATTGGGTGGCTTTGTGTGGAAGTAGCAGCACATGTTTAGATGTACCATGGCAGGATCTTATAAAGGGTTTTTGTTTTGAAGATCGTGCCTTTGTGCCTTTTTTTTTTTTTTTTTTTAACCCATTATGGAAATTTATCGCAGTATTGCGTATTGCTTTTATACCTACCAGTTTACTCTAGTTTATCCGTGAAAACACTACTTTTACTAGTTTCAGTGTCACATTTAGCTGTTTTGCACATTGAGTAAATTGATGCACAAAATCCAACACTTTCATCACTGCTTATTTTGATTTTTTTTTTGTGTTAAATATTAGCACAGCTGTAAATTTATGGATGTCTTGCATTCACAAGCCGTTCTATTTTTGTTAGATAATGTGAATGTCACCTTTTTTTTTTTTTAAATGCACAGAACTCTAACTTTACATCGGTGTTATCCAGGTACCAGTCTACTGCTTAATAGCAGATGAACAGCCTAAATTTTTTGGCTCTGGTGCTTATTTAAAGTGCAACACACACTGCTTTGTCACCTCACAGCCTTTTAAGAGTTTAAAGAAAGCATTTATCCAGGTTCGTCCAAAAAGTGCTATCACAAAATGGTACCTTAAGTCTGGGGCACAGCCATCAGGTTTGCCGGTCAAGGAGTAGACTAGGTGGGTAATGAATATTAGCTCAGTAGATGGGCTGAAAGGTTTGCTTGGACTACACACATTTGTTGTTAGATATTGTCTGCACATGGTTTGGTTTGTACATCTTGTGTATATTTTGTGATTTCTGGAGGGTTAGGGTAACCAGTTTCTGTGTTTCTCAGGTTTTTAGCCCAGATTGTGGCTTGATGCTACCTACCTCTGTCACTCTGCCCTGGAAAACCTTAACTGCTGTCCCTTTCCTGACAGAAACCGCTTGGGTTGATCTTTAAACTTCCATTTTTCTTAATATAGGTGATTATCTAAATTGTTTTATTTATGTAGGACATTAAGCTGACATTTTTCAACTGTACATAATCTGGATTTTTCAGTGAAATAAAGTACATGATAAATGTTGGGTGTTACTGTATGGATATGTTGGCCTGGTTATCTGCCTTTGTCAAGGGATTTATTTTGTTTCAATTGAACCAACTTCCTCTCTTCCTGTTCATAGTGTTGTATAACATTTTTTGCTTTTGGTGTATGAAATGTTAATAAATTTGTTTTTAACTATTAACAGACATTTTCTCCCATTTCAAAGTGAATTATTTGATTTCTATGATTCAAGGCTTATGATGTCCCATGTGTTTGTATCTGTTGTCCATCCAGTCCTCAAAGCTGAAATCATTTTTTTGTTTTTTAATTGACTTACTCCAAAATCTATGCATTTATTAATTGGCAGCGAGAGCATAGTTTGATTCTTGCACAGAATGTATCCTTTTCAAAACAAATGGCTGAATGTTCTTTTATATGCAATATTGGTTAGGACTTGTAGCACGTCATAATGCTTAACCTATTGGACTTCAGATAATGATGCATCCTATATATTGGATTTAAATGGTAGATCTGGTACTCAAATGCACAGATTGGCTTCTTGTTTAATGAGATTGCACTTTAGTGAGCTGTAGCATGTCTGCAAACGTTATGTTCTTCAAACTAGTGTTCAAGTGCAATGTTTTAAAAGAAGTGAGACAAGCGGACACCTGAGCCTTTAATCACAATTGCACTGTTTATGAGCTGTTTTGTGGTGAAAATGGGCTTCGTATCCAGAAAAGTAAACTTTAAATGCTTCATAACAATCTTTTATTGGAACTCTAATCATGTGTTTTCTTATGAGGGTTGGATGTGGTGTTGGTGAATTTGATATATACTGTATGGTACGTTAAGATATGGAAAGGGTTTATATTTTTTTGCTGTGTAGGTGCTTCAATGAATAAACATTTTAAATCAAATTGGTCTAATATGTGTTTAATGGGGGGAGGGCTCTCCTTGAAGATTGTATTGGAACCCAAGTCATGCTTTGACTTTGGATTCTAATCATGGTCCTCAGCAGAATGCTCAGAGCATACTGAAGCTGTTTGCTTGTAGACCTGGCAGGAAAGTAATTTTCCATTTCAGGCACTTTTCAGCAAATAAACTACTGTAGTCAGAAATTTGCATTTTCATAAAGTTGGAAATGTTGACAGCTGCTCAGCCAAGGAAACCAGCTCTATGAATAACGACTATGTTCTGAATATTTACTTCAAACTCTATTTTAAAGTGGATTCTATGTAATTTATTCAATGCAGTGTTTGTCTGCTTATTAAAGCTTTTATTATAGATTGGTATAAAAATGTAAGCTCTTCATTAGGGATTCAGCCTGTTGAAAAACAATAAAGAAGCTGCTGGATAGTTTGGTATCGCTGTGTGCATGACTATGATCATGGGCTAAGGAAATAAGTGAGAGCTGTCAGAGGGGTGCAGAAACATGGCCACCAGTGTTGAAGTAAAATATCAGATTTGTGTTCCTGTGACATTTATAAGACTGATAGGATGGATGAAAGAAGAACCGAGCAAACTATCAGAAACCATTCAGGCTAAACTTGCCATCTGTGGCATATTGAACTATAGTGTGCTCCATAGATGTTCACACTACGATAAAAAAAAATAAAAAATCTTCAGATGGTCAGAATGCATTTTGACAAGCTCCACATTTCTGGGAGAGCTTCTTTTGCATTGATTAGACCGAATATATGCTTTTTGGCATGTCAGCTCTGTTATTAGAAACAAAAATGTAATCCCAAACAAAAGAGCACAGATACCTTTGGGGGGGGGATAACCACCTAGGAAACACTGGATTTCTCTGGAGGAGCCAAGATCCTCACTCTATTGAACCTCTCAGAGAGCTATTATTTAACTGAAACTATTCTGAATTGTGTTCAATATGGAATAAGTGATGCTTAGTAAGCTTCTGCTGCTATTTTAATGGTATTTTAAATGTTTATTGACTGTTGAAGGGTAATAAATATATGGAAATATGTAGGCTTCATCTGAGGGGATGTGATCCCACCTATGATAAGCATTCAGTTATATTTAAGATGTCATCTGTTTATCATCTGTAAGATAAAATTCTTACAAATCAGACAAAGGTATCTAAAAAATAGCTTGTTTCTTTTAGGTATTATCTCATCAACTACCTCATTATTGTAGTTTTTTTTTTGTCTGACATCACTTTTTAGAACAAACTGTCTTCCAAGAAAACAGATATGGGTCTAACACTTTCTGTATCACACAGGTATAAGAGATAATGAAGACGCATAATTCATAAAATATTATGTATGTATGGGGAAAAAAAAGTTTTCTTTCATCATTTAAAATGGCACCTTTGTTGATTGTTTTATTTACCATTAAGCTTATTCCCTCAATTAGATTAAACACAAATAGAAAAAAAAATAGGAAAAGGGTCACGAAAAAAAAAAGTGAAATAGGTAAACAAGCAAAGCTGACACATTATCGAGCATAATAAAAAAAGGGAAAACTAAAAGATAGGCAGTAAACTTGATTTAAGAAAAATTTTGCATCAGAGGGAAAGCTGGATAGATAAAAATGCAACAATTAAGCGTGAAAAACATGTTTATTTTGCAGCTTCACATTAGGTGCTAAATAAAAATGATTTTTTTTTTTTTTTTAGGAGTCTGTTTCATTAGATACATTCTCAAATCTACAATATCTGGTCCAAACATTAAGATTATCATTCTTTACAAAGCCAAGATTACACAAAGCTGTCAGAGAAATGTCAGATGTCATTCTGAAAAGAAGAAAAAGTTGTTTTTTTAAATAGAAGGGTTATAGTGTTCTCTATGTGGATGTTTAAGTTTGCGTGCTCTCTACGGACAGACTCGGTGCTGGAACCTTCATCTCATTTTACTTTTTTTTTTTTTCTTTCCATACTTCATTTGCATGTGAGACAACATGTTTTTTCTCCCAAGTTTGCCTATATCAAAATTGTCCAGCTAAAGCTAAATGTCTGAGATGCAAGCAAGAAAATAGGAAATCTGGCAACCATGCACCACATGATTACGTTGCCAGATCTGGAAAAAGCTGTTCATGTGTCATAATGTGTACCTCAGCCAACTGATCAGCTCAAGTAGGGAAAAATACCGAGTAATGTGCATCAACTTAAATACACACAAAGCAAAATTGTTCCTTTTTGTTTCCATTTCCTTTTATAAACACTGTTCTTCTGAAGACCTGAAATAGAAAGTCCGCCTTCGTTCCCAAGCTGTCTTATGGTCAACAAATATATGTTCTCAAATGCATAATATATAAATGCATCAATGAATGAAACATCCGTTTAAATTAGACTCCTGGTTCTCTGGAGCAGAGGTTCCCAAACTTTGTAGCATATGACCCACAAAAGGAAACCAAAAATGGTCTCAATATAAACATTTCTAAAACCCTGTTAACCATATATACAACTGATCTATATTTGTTTTTTTTTTTGTTTTTTTTTCTATTTGTAAGTGATGTTTTGATATCTTTTAACCTAAAAATGCTTCAAAGTTAAAGGATTTCAAGACTCCATACTTGTTGATCTGTGACCCCAAGTGGGATCATGGCCCCAATTTTGTGAATCAAAGCTCTGGAATGAAATAAGCCATTATTTTCCCATCATACCTTGGGTTGGCATATTTCAGCACAGTTGCATCAGAATAAGTCCTTTTAAAGATCTGCATTTTATATACTTTTTAATATAATCAACATTTTCTTACAGTTTCTTCGGTTTAACTAAGCATTTTCTTTTGTGTTATTTGCCATCTAAATTTCAAGTTGTATACGTTATGATCTTACTATGCAAAAATATTACACAAAGAGACATAAAAAGCTTCCTTTATTTGTTGGTGCCTTATTTGCCAAACGAGAAAGTTTTACCCATTTTGGGTGAAACTCAATAAACAAGCCCTCTTTGGGAAATTCTAGACAGGTTCCAACAGGGGCCAACAAATAATCCTAGGTTTTAAAAGCAAAAACACATTCCTTTGTCAGATCACCATAATTACCTACTCAAAGTGCAAATACACTTATTCAACACCTTTTTTTTTATATATATATTTTAGACCATATATATCTTATTTAAGTAGACATTTTGGCTATCTATACTTTACTGGAGTAATCTTTTTTTTAACAACTTTTTACTCCTTACATTTTGAAAATAGAATTGTTATTTTTGTTTGCTTTAAGCTATTTTTTTATGGCCTGTTGGTATTTAAAAAAAGAAAAACCATCAAAATAACTTGTTTCATCCAGACAATGTTGTTGGTGCTGTACCAGCTTGCTGTTCACTACATAACAAAAAACAGATTTTTTTTTTTCAAGATGATGCAAAGTTAGATTTGACATTGTTACAATTATAAAACTTAGAAAATTAGGTGTAAGGAAATTATCATCCAGAATTGCAGAAAAATGTCCTAAAAGGAAGTGCAGTAAAGCATATGTCCTTACATTTTTTCCTGCATTACCTTTACACTTTATGTGGTTTTAAAATTGCACTTTTCACTTTTACTTGAGTAAAAAGCTTAAGTGGATACTCTTCTACAACTTCTACAAAAGTGTTATTAAACAGTAGGATTTCTACTTCTACTTGAGTAGTAAAAATTAATACTTTTGATACCTATGACCATAAGTGATTTGGGGCCGCCTTTTACAGCTGCTTTTGTATCTTTGATTCTGTCTCCTTGAACCCCATTCGGCCGCTCACACTGAGCCTGGTTCTGCTGGAGGTTTCTTCCTGTTAAAAGGGAGTTTTTCCTCTCCACTTTCGCTACAAGCATGCTTAGTGTGAGGGATTACTGAATAGTCAATGAGTCGATGCAAGAAACTGGTTTTCCTTAGATAGAAAACTTTGAATCAATTTGACTGTATGATCTGGTGAACTGTAGAGTGCCTTGAGATGACATGTGTTGTGAATTGGCGCTATATAAATAAACTGAATTGCATTAAATTTATTCCTTGGACTAATTTAATATTTCTCCTTTGCATTTGGTTAAACAGTTATTTAGCTTCAGTCTTACTAAAATAGGATCCCATTTTTCATCTGTTGGATCAGGGGTCTGCAACCTTCGCTGTGTGCCTCACTTGCTGTATTAAATGCGCTCTTGTCCTGTTTTTTTTTTCATTGTTGCTTTTTGTGTTTGTTAGTTTTCTGTTCTGAGCACACATGAAAAGTAAACTGGACTTGCCCTGACCACGAGCGGAGGATGCTGTGGTTGAAGCAGGGAGAAGCAGCAGGAGGAGGAGGATTTATTTTTATTTTTTTTGCAAAAAAATAACACACATGTACAATATAGAACATTAATAATTACAAATATATAAAACAACAAAGGGCTTTACAGAACAGAACTATCATTTTAAAATGTCAAAATCAAATCCATGCTTGAGTGTTATAATTCTTTGAGGGCAGTAATAATTATTATATTGTCATGGCTTTAGCATTTGAACTAAATTTTAAGGATTCTATATAGATATTAATAGAAGATGATCAAATCTGGAAATTATGTGTTTGTTGTAAATATTTGGAGGTGTGAATATGATATTTACCATAAATAATAAAACAATTTATAACACATAAAAATTCTGTTTTGACAAGTTCACATTTCTCCATCCCAAACAAAACATCCTTAATGTTAAGATTTTTTTTGATGAAAAAAAAAGACATATTTCTCCAAAATTATTTTGGTATAATTGCAATCCCAAAAAAGATCAATAAGCTTTTCTTCATTATTTTTACAAAAAGTACACAATGGGTCCAAAACCCATTTATATCTTTTTTTTTTTTATCAAAAATGCTTTAACAGGATAAACATTATAAATAATTTTATAAGAAATTTCTCTTACTTTATTGTTTATTAAGTATTTTTTTAAGAATCAACCAAGTCCACTTCCAATTTATATTTTCAAAAGTGTTGGACCAATAAAATATACAAGTTGGTGAAAAATTTAATTTCTTAACCTTTTGTTGGTTGTTTTCTTACTTATAAAAGGAAAATCATAATCTTTTTTTTCCAATCCAAACCTTTATTGAGGAGTTGCAAATTACAAAACATTGACAAAAAATATCACAGGATATAGAACAGTATCTCCAAAATAACTGTTCAATGATGGAGTACAGTTAGAATTAAGATATAACATAATTTAACTTAAATAAATAACAGAAGAGATTTAAAAAAAAAAAAAAAAGGGCAAGTTTTATTACATTTCTCCAAATATTTCCTGAATTACATTAACAGTGTGTAAACATTTTTTGATTGTTGATTCTTTGGATAAAATTTAAGTAATTTAAAAAAAAATCATTTTCAAACACAGGGAAGATTTGGTTTTGTGAATGTGGAATTTTGCAATTAGAATAAACAAGTTAACCAAGAGTTGCATTTTCCTATCATTATTAGTATAGTGTAAGATGATATCTTTGCCTTGTAATTTAATTGGTGTGTTGGAGTGCGATATGATGTAAACCTCAACTTCTTTCCAGAATATCTGTGAAAATTTACATTCAAAAAATAGGTGAGGAAAATCGTAATCAAGGAGGAAGGAGGAGTGACTGACGTCACGGCGCACGGGCTGCAACGCGGAAGGAGGAAAGCGACTCTCCGTCACTGAGGTGTAATTTCAGCGTCACTGCCTCGCAAGGTGCAGCCTTTAGTGTGACTCCTGTGCGGCTCTAAGACCCCCTGACATCTTCACACCAGTAGTAATTTATTAAAACGCAAAGCGGACATATACCCCCCTTTTTCCTCCCTGACGGACCTCGGTGGAGACCCTAGCGAAGCCTGAAGGTAGCGAACCGTTTGTCCACTACCTGCTGCTAGCATGAATGACCGCCGCAGCCAGCGGGCTGCTACTGTTTTCATTTCTGTTCTGTTGAGTTGTTTCTGTGTTTTTGCTTCACTTCTCCGTTTCCCGTCTTTTATTTAATGCAATAAGAACCAACGCGGTGCGCCAGCAGCTCAGTGTGGATCTGAGGTCGGCAGGATGAGCGCCGTTGTTGACGTTCGTGGTTTGACAGCTGAGGCTGCTGCTGGTTAGCTGCCTTTAAATCCCTGCAGCTTAAACCTTCCTAACTCTGTATTAATATGTTTGACAGCTAAGGTTACTTTCTCAATACACTGGAAAGCATTCAAATTGTCTGAATGGTTGTACTAATTATTTGGTATACTGCAAGTATACAGTCAGAATATGTTAAGGCCAAATATTCCAATTTCAAAGTAAAAGTAGCATTTGATGACAAAATATAAAACATGTAAGCAGTAAGGCATTTAAAGGTGGAATTGCTTTATAAAGCTGGTAAAATGATTTTAAAATGCGTCTTTTGGTTTGAATGAACATGTTACAGCATTCATGTGGATTTGTATCTGGTAAATACGGAAAAGGATGACGGCCACTGAAAAAATTTAATAAGTTAACTGATTTTTGAATTTTATTTGAGTATAATATGAGATTAAAAATAAGAATTCTGACTTTTTCCTCAGAATTCTGACTTTAATATCAGAATTCTGACTTTATCTCAGAATTCTGACTTCTTCCTCAGAATTCTGACTTTAATATCAGAATTCTGACTTTTTCCTCATAATTCTGACTTTTTCCTCAGAATTCTGACTTTTGCCTTAGAATTCTGACTTTAATCTCAGAATTCTGATTTTTTGCTCAGAATTTTGAGTTTTTTCACAGAATTCTGTCTGAATTCTGACAGCTAAGAAACATGTTAGCATCAAGCCGTATCCATGTCTGTTTTAGAGACTAGCTCTCTTGTTTTAATCACCTTCTGCTCCTCCATTAATGAAATAGCATCACCAGGGACCCCTCAGGCATGTAAAAAGTTGCCTAATTTCTTCATTTTCCAACAATGTGTCTCTGGGCCTCTCAAACAACTAACATCTTTGTCAGTGAAGCTGAGTGCTGCCATATCTCTTCCTTCATGGTGCCCATCTACATTAAGATCCAAAATTCTGAGGAAAAAGTCAGAATTCGGAGATAAAAGTCAGAATTCTGAGGCAAAAAAAGTCAGAATTCTGGGGCAAAAAAACTCAGAATTCTGGGGCAAAAAAGTCAGAATTCTGAGGCAAAAAAGTCAGAATTCTGGGCCAAAAAAAGTCAGAATTCTGGGGCAAAAAAAGTCAGAATTCTGGGGCAAAAAAGTCAGAATTCTGGGGCAAAAAAAGTCAGAATTCTGGGGCAAAGAAAGTCAGAATTCTGAGGCAAAGAAAGTCAGAATTCTGAGGCAAAGAAAGTCAGAATTCTGAGGCAAAAAAAGTCAGAATTCTGGGGCAAAAAAAGTCAGAATTCTGAGGCAAAAAAAGTCAGAATTCTGAGAAAAAAAGTCAGAATTCTGACTTTTTTCCCATGTTAAACTGAAATATTTAAAAATCTGTAATTTTTTTTTTCAGTGGCCCTAAACCTCTTCCGTAGTATCTGGTCAGTCAAACCAACTTAAGCAAAGTTTCTTTTTTGATAATATGCTTATCTATCAGCTTTTGTGTCACATAGTTGATAAATAGCAATAATAACATTGAATGCTGATGTGACGTGTCAGACCAACACACTGAGTCTGTTTGAAAAGTGATAATTCCCTCATTATGAACTTTGCCTTGGTTTTTAAACTGAAAGAGAAACATACTGAAACTGAAAGAGTTTTAACTTTTATACGGATATTGGATTATTCATTTAACCGAACTCCAGCTAAGCCAGGGCCAACATTAGATTGTTAATGGATATTTGTGGTGAGTAAAAAAATGCTTTAGCAGTTACGCAAAATGTACTCATTAATGTATGATATTATAACATTTTATTTGAAAAAGAAAACAATTATACCCAATATTCTAAGATGTTTAGAGATACAATAATCGTAGCTACAAAATCAGTTTCTTTATTTTAATCCACTAGTAAAAACACGTGAATAAACACTTTAAATCTTTTATTAGTGTTAAGATACTTCCCTTTCAAATTGCATTTCATGTCAGGTGGTTAAATCGACCAGTGGTTCCCAAACCATTCTTGCTGGGCTACCTTTTAGTTCACAAGAAATTTCCCCCCCTTTACCCCACCGCCACCAATATTTTCAACAGTTAAACAGAAAAAAGTCCAATACCACTTTTAAAGTGAGAACCAGTCTGCAATTCTTAGAGGAAACCAATGTTTCCTGAAAAAAAGAGACGAGTGATGCTCCTTGTCTTTGTTTTTGTGATTTGGAAGTACTTATTACCATAATACTTATTATACAGAATTGTGTGTTGGCCTTTTATTAAGCCAGCTGAGCAGCAGTGTGCAGCAACAGCTGTCACTACCCGATCCGTACCGCTAGCGGAATACGTGCCATCAACTAATTTGCGCATGTGCAAACAGATATCCATCCAGGTCGCCCTTGATTTTACTTTGTAAAATAGACCTAAATTAAAATTTTCCCTCCCTAAAAATAGTAAGCGTTCTAAACTTTAATGTGTTAAAGGTTAATAATGTATTTCCTAAGAATATAAATGCTAAAATCCTTTTTTCAGTTTTATCACTTGTCTGTGCCCATCAGAACCGGAAATGGGATCCTATGCTACATCCCGGAGCTAACTTTTCCAGCTTTGGATTTAAACATAGATCTAGTTTTGAGTTTAATTTTTCCTTTCCTGTTAACCTTATGGTATATAGTGCGTAAAGAAACAAAATGCAAATAAACATGGTTTAATCATATTTTGCCGAACTACTCTAAGCATGTCCAATGATGAAGTCAGACAAGCAGTTTAAGGGAGAAAATGTTTTTAAAGACGTGAATTAGCATTCTTTAGTGATTTAAGGATAGAAATAAGTACTTTTGGTACCATAATTACATTATTTATGATGACCTGGATGAATATGTGCCCAAATGAGCTGAAGGTATGGATGGTGCTTCCTGTACGGATCGAGTAGTGACAGCAGCTGAAGGAGGAGCAGTATTCAGACTTCCTGTAGAGAAGAACTCTAAACTATGTAGATTGTAGGACAAAAACTCCTGTGGTTTTGGAGCTTTAACATGGAGACCTACTTAAATATTTCTGTTTAGGTCCACAAGTCTTGATTGCCTCTTTTCGGACAATGAAGGACAATGAACAGCATTTTATTGAGCATTTCAGAGGAAA